GATCATAGAAGTCTTCTTTCGCAAGAAGTTCGGATTAATCTCGAAGGTTTGATAGAAGTGGAAGCGGACGGTGCCTTCGGGATGTCCGTATGACATGCTTCTCCGGTCTAGTAGCTTCGGCGAACGTCGGCTGATGGTAGTCAAGCTTCTTTAAAACTCTGTTACTAACAGGTTGAGTCATCTTTGCTGATTTCGCTTACAAACACGGGCCTATGGCGGGCCGCTTAGCAATCAGTATCACGTCCCTCCAATGAGGGCGTGTCATTCTACAAGTCTCCATAGCAAGTTCTTTCTCAGTCGAGTCCTTGCTGACATCGCGCCTTACTGCGCCCCGGTCGCTCGTCCCTCGCGACGTCCGAACCATGCTGACCAAGCGGATCTGAAGAGCCTATAAATATAGGCGAAACTTGGGGGTGGACGCCATTCCACCCAAGTCATCCAAGTCAGCCACAAGTCCTTCAGCAGGCAGGTCGACGCCAACACCACCTAACCCTAACCTAACCAGAGCTGCATAAAAGCAATAGAATGAGGGTGTCGTGTCCAAAAACATCACTCACCTTACAACGTCTCTGGCGGGATGCCTAAAGACATATCTTCGACGGTCAGATACCAACAGCAGTGCAGGGCTAAGTCTCGCGACCAGCGTCGTTGGCACCCTTACAAGCGGTGCGAGCGTCCTTGCGTAAGTGCATGATCGTTGTCTTGTGTCAGTGACGGGTCTAACATATCTTGCGTGCTATCACTAGTACGACTGGGAGGATGATACTGTTTCTACTGCGGTAGTTCCGGAACTTGATGAGGAAAAAGAGATTGTCTGACGGGATGGTGCGGCTGAGCGCCGTTAATTGCTGAGTACTGAGTGATTTCCTCTCCGCTGACTACAAGCTGAGCGATGACTTGTGTGTAGGACAGCCCGCGAGGCCTCGCGGACGATGGTGTACTTAACGACCAATATCCGTGCCACCGCTGTCATTTCCACTTTGTTATTTGCTCTGCTGTCTATTGTTGTCGTTGAATTCAGAGTGTTATTGCCGAAAAGAGGGCGCCTCTCCGGCGCGCCTGAGGCACACAAGGGCGAAACCGTCGAGCAAGAGGCCACCAACTTCGTTTTCGGGTTCGCCTCGCTCGCCATCGGCGCAGCCACCGGACAAAAGGAGGCACCACATGTCGAACAGGGAGGCGCACACGGTGAAACCGCCGCAGAAGAGAAGGATGAGACGGCAGTCGGCGTGGGCGCCGCGCTTCCTGATCCGACAAGGTAGCATGGACAGGCTGCGATATTGGAGAACGCGCGCCCTGCGATGCGTGCGCTCGCACATACCATGGGTACGTTGGAGCGCTTTGTGAAGTATGTAGTGGCTCTGCGGTGTCAGTAAGGAGAGAACTGACGTCGAGAATCGCAGCGTGTTGTCGCCGACGCCGCCATTCTCGCATGCACCAAGGCTCCGGCTCGCTGTGCTCGTGCTCCCATTACTAATGGCAACAACAGTGTTGAGGTCAGATGTTCGTCAAGGCTGACTCGTTCGGATTAAGCTTTGTACTGTTCGGCCAGCCGCTCATCTCACGCGGCGCACACTGGCTCACGCACCGATTTCCAAACTGGCGCGAGATGTTGCAGTTGCGTAGGTGAGGTTTTCCTATTCCTACAGGCGCGTCGCGAAACAGAGGTCTCGGCACGGGTGTTCCGACAAACGCGCAACTCGCCCTCAAGTTGCTACGCATCGCGGAAGAGAGCAAGACGCCTCTCCCTCCCGCCCCCACCCCCGACGGGTGGCATAATAGAGGAGTCTGAGACGGTATCGAGGCTGCAGTCTGTGAAGACGGCGACGTGGAGTTTGACACACGTTGAACTACGATGTCAAAGGTGTGGATGCCCGCATGGCCATAGCTGAACGCGCTGATAGCTGTAACAGGCGAGGATGGGAAGCCGAGGCCCTGACCGGCCAGCAAGCTCGCCCGCGCGCTCAAGGGCACGGGCATCCATGCATTAGTGTCAATGAGGACATGGTATTGAGCGTCGAGCGGATTCATGTGTCAGCCCGGCGCTCCTTGTCTGAATCGCGCCCATCGATACGAGCATGTGGAAGGGCGAGAGTTGTTGTTGAGTTTGCTACGGTCGTCTGGGCAGTGTGCCAAGAAACGGACGACACCTCTGATGGACCGCAGCCATATGGGATGGAAAACGTGCCGTCATGTGTAGTGGACTGAGTGGATCGACAGAGACGACGGTGAGCGGCCTGCTGGAGACGTTGTGCAGGGGGGCGGCAGGTTCGGGAGCAGCGATTGTCGATAATTCACAGAGCGACACAAATGTACTTACGTGCAAATGCCCGTACGAACAACAGCGTCGCACCAGGATGGTAGTGCGCGCGTTGTAGAGCGGTAGGCCGTGCGCACCGAGGCCTCAGGCGATCGCGAGCAACAGTGGTCAACACTCGCCGCGGGATGCCAGATAACCTAGCCGCGCACCCCATTCTTTGCTATCGAACAGCCCGTGGATATAATACAGTTCACATACGTTACGTATTATCCGGCATAGGGCAACGCCCTCGAGGGGCTATAAAGCTGGTTCTAAAAGCAACAGCATCGCGATCGTGTCAAAGTGGTGCAGTCATAGTGGCACAGGTCGAATCCGCACTCAAAGTGCATACTCGAGCATAACTGCCGTTTACACAGTCATGCTCTGTTCAACCCATGCCTTCCACAGCAGCATGCTTCCACGCCTGTCGGCAAGTATTCGGAGTGCATCATCTAAGCGGCACCGTGCACTCCACCACGCCTCGAGGATGCTCTGGTCATCGACGTCCGTATCAGGTCCACGTTCCCTGCTGAGACCGAGCACCTCGATCGCGTCTGTGATCTTTTCAGGTGCATAACGATGACAAGACTCTTTGATGATGATTTGCTGCAGCTCCGGGGCGGCCGCGCCGATATCGCCAAGCGCCTGGGCAATCTGACATAGTGCCGTGAAATAACGGGGCGTGTTCACAGGATCGCAGCGACACTGCGCGAAATACGCGAATACAAGTGTCTCTGCGCATGGATCAGAAGCAGAAGCGACGGCGCAGTACGCACTTACTTTGTGAGTATGCTGCCGGTGTCATGCCAAGCTCCTTCCATGCAAAATCGAGCGCATTGACGCCAACGAGCGTGAGGCTGCGGGGGACTGTCGCGAGCTTAATGACGTTCGAGCACCACAGCGCTGTACCTACCTTGCGACACATGTGCGCCGATCTGAGTTTGCAAAAACTCGTAAGCGTCAAGTGCGTGCGTGCACGTTCAATACTTGCGGCTTGTATGTCCCAAATGCGTTGGTTTCTGGCAATGGTTAGCTAGACCCTGGACCGATGGAAGACAGCGCGTACTGTTTTTCTGGTATATGGTCAGCCATGCGGACATCTCGACCCATGCGCGCAAGAGGCGTGCCCGGTTCTGCTTGCCCTCCGAGATAGACGGGTCGATAACAGGTGGGCACACGCCTGGCTCTTCCGTACCCGGCACTATGCTCATGGGAAAGCGTAAGGTTTCGAAGATCTGCTTGCTGCAGGCAAGGTAGAGTTGTTAAGAGCTATTGTAAAAAGGCAAGGGAGATGCCCTACGCTGTCTGGCTCCAGCCGACCTTTTGCTGGAATTGAACGCGCGCGACGGGCAGTATGCGCTGCTCGTCCTGCCATAAGCGCTTCTCAATGATGCTGTACATGGTGAGACAGACCATGTACGACCACAACCAGTGCGACTTACGAGATCAAAGTTTCCCAGCCTATCAGAACGCTCGCCGTTGATGTCTTCTCAGTCGGCGGACGAGTAAACCTGACGTGACTGTACTCGTCGACCAACTGTCGTGGGATAACACCGGGGATGAGGTCTGATACTACGCAGTACATCGTACATTGGCAGCAGACATAAAGGTCTAGCAGAGTGTCTTCACGCATAAAGGGCGGATCGATATCACGAGCGTCAACCGCACGCTCGTAGCGGTGCCAGTGATGTGTCGCGTTCACCTGGCCAAACGGCTGCTCGCCCTGACCAACGCATGAGCCGCTCCGCGTGCGACGATCAGGGTCGGGAAGGCGGTCGAGTTTGCGCGCAAGCTTGGGGAGGACGCTTGAATTCTGGCAGAGGAGTAATACCCAGCCATTGTGCTCCTTGCAGAAGTACGCATGCGGGTGAGGAATGGCCTCCAGAGTCTCGTTGAGCAAGGGCGCGTGTGGAGTCGAGGTCGCTGACTGTAAGGTCGCCAACTGGGATTCCTTGAGGCTAATGTTGTAGAGGGTGTGGTAGGGATGGTGGAAGAGATTGAAGAGCATGGGCGGAAGTATGCCAGGACCCGGACTGACGCACCGAGTGGGTAGGACAGCGTCGGGAAAGCGCTCCTCTTCCAAGTCGGGACCATGGATACATACCTGGTGCAGAGTGGGGACTGCTGTTGGGTTCGCGTTCGGCTCTGTCGTGATGCACGGCGTGCTGGCAGCGCGCCATGGCTCTGACATGGAAGTCGGAAAGGATGGGCCGCCTGGGGTGCGGGAACTGTTGGTCGTCATCACAGAACGTTATAGTGCGAGCCCGAGGCAGTAGTAGTCGGGGAGAAAGGCGAGGATCGCGTCGAGTGAGCACATACGGTTAGCAGCAGCCTCATTATAGTAGACCGCTGTCAGGTTTCGCAGGGAAAGCGCTGCTGGGCGCTGGCAGTAGCGCCTAATGACAGGGGAGTGCGAGCGAGTAGCGACGGTTAAGAGCGAACGCAGGTGCACGCGCCACGGCCAGTAGCGGAAGTCCATCGGTGAATATTGAATCAACGTTCGCCCGGTCTGCGCAGACCAGCGACGGACATTGGCGGGCCGGGCGATCGATGACGATCGATGACGCAGAGGGACATAAGATGCAGTCAAGTCGGCTCTTGACGTTGACCTGCAGCCACGATGGTGTCCCCAGACGACCCCTCCCTCACGCCCCTGCTCCTCACCCTCCCCTCCCTCACCCCCTCTCTCGCCCTCGAGGTCCGCACTTGCTCCTCTCCGCAACCCTCTGCTGACTCTACCCACAGGTGCTCCCCCTCGGCCTCACCCTCCACCGCCTCTTTGTCCAAGCAGATGCCAAGGCATGTACGCTCCCCTCTCCCCACCCACGCGCGCTCACCCGTCCACAGACGCACGACATCCTCATCGGCCCCGAGCTCCCCGCTGGCCACCTCTCCCAGAAGTACACAAACACCATCATCGGCCGCTACGCCAATCGCGTCCCCGCAGGCACCCACCCCGTCTCCCGCGCTGGCGTCCACTCCTCTCTGACCGCTGCCTCCAACGAGTCCCCCTCCGTCTCCCTCCACGGCGGCCTCTCCGGCTGGGACCTCGCCCCCTGGGATCCCCTCCCTGACCTCTCCGCCGCCACCCTCTTCTCTCCCGACGAGCAGCAAACCATCGGCGCAACCCTCCCGTCCGCCTGCGTCTTTGTCCGCGAGTCTCTCAACGGCGAGGAGGGCTACCCTGGCCGCCTGCGCGTCGAGGTCCTTGTCGGCCTTGCCCAATCCAATGCACCGCCCCCCGCCGCCTCGGCAGAGTGGCTTCTCGGCAGCGTCGTTCTCATCTATCGTGCCCGTCTTCTAGACACTGACAAGGTCACCCCCATAAACCTCACCCAAGTACGTCTTCTATCTCCCACCCGCGCCCTCCCTGCTCACCGTTTCCACAGCACTGGGGCTTCAACCTCGACGCTTCGCTCCAGGATGGCCAGTCCGTCAAAGACCACACCCTCACCATCCGCGTACGTACTTCCTCTGCGACTCGTGATCCAGGACGAGCAGAGCGTCATGCGGCGTGCACTCTCCTTGTGCGTAGATGCACGCAGGCGCATCGCGTCGCATGTCGCTCAGCGGGTCATTCCGTGTGTCGCGCTTCCCTTTCCTTGCACTGAGTGGGCTCTGCTTCGCTCTCCGCTCACACACACGCAGTCCTCGAACACCCTCGAGCTCGCCCCCGACGCCAACTCGGCCGGTAGCCTCGCCCCCGTCGCAGGCACCCACCACGCCCACGCCGAAAAGACGACCCGCACTATCGGCGAGCGCTTCCCCGCGCAGGGCTACGGTACGTCCAGCGTTCACTGTCCGCGACCCTCCCGCGCAAGCTGAGCCTCGTCGCGCAGACGAGTTCTACCTGCTCGACAAGCGCGATGCGCCTGCTGTCCCCGTCCGAGTGCCTGCCGCGTCGCTGGCGGGTGCTGGCGACCTGGTGCGCGCCGCGCTCGAGGACAACGGAGAGCCGGACGTCGAGCTCGCGAGCGCAAAGAGCGGGTTGAAGCTGCGCTTCTTCTCGAATCGTGAGTCTTCTCCCTCGCCCATTCTCTTCGCTCTGTATACGCGCTAATCGAACCTTACAGAGTCGGGCGTGCAGTTCTACTCGAACAACTTCGCGAGCCCGGACAAGACGGCGCGCAAGAAGATTCACGGCGGCTCGGGCGCCGTGGGCGACGGATACGAGCCGGGATGTACGTCGTCTCGTTCTTTGTGTTGCTTCTTGCAGTGACACGAATGCTACACGCTCAGCGGCTGCGTTCCTCGAGTTTCACGAGCCGCTCGCGGCGTGGCTCCACCCCGCCACCGTCGGGCGCACGGGGAACGACACGCTGCTCGCGCCAGATGAAGTGTACAACAACTACGTGCGCCTGGACGTGTGGTACCGCAGTCCGGAAGGGTTGTAGCGGTCCGCAATCTAGCGCGTGGACGCGGAAGAGCAGAAATGGATGCAGATACAGATACACATTGTAACTCCTAGCCAGATCGTTCAAGACATGCTTGTATAATTGTCTATAAGGGCAGCACGCTGACATATGTCAAGAGGGCGAAGGCCATCATGGCAAGATGGCCGAGCGGTCCAAGGCGTGTGACTCAAGCGAAAGCTTGCCTGCTTCTGCGGGTCTTCTCATCTGGGTATCCAGGCGTGGGTTCAAATCCCACTCTTGTCACTTTTTGTGCGTTTGCAGGGCTTTCTTAGCTGCCGCTCGCCAGACATAGATATCCGGAGCCAGCATATACGTAGGTTGAAGGAAGTGTCTATCAGTCTGCTCTCAGGAGACTAGTTCTGGGCTGCGCGCATTCCGTTCCGCTTCTGCCTCAGCTTGATGGCTCACAGCTATCTGGTTCGTCGCAAACACTGTTATTTCTCTTGATTTTCCGTAATTGTGGGACCATCATGTAGTCCACAAGCATGGTTTACGATGGTATTCCAGCAAGTGATTCGTGAATATTTGATGGTCCGCGTGCCTTTGGCGCCTTGGCCAAACAAATGAATACCACGGCAGAACCGTATGCAGGCTTAGTACATGTCGCGCTGACATCCTTCGCAGCAAAGTATACGTGTTGACACTGGACGACATTTTGATGGCGGATGTCAATGATCTGCCACTTGAAGACAATGGATGGGGCAGGTGCTTGGACACATTCGATGCCATGTCCTTAAACCCGCCAGACGTAACGGTCCCCGCCGTACTACCTGCTACAACTTATACCCCGCCCCGCCGTGCTTGCATGTCCGACATGCCCTTCGACATCCTCGTCCTCATCTTCAAGCAGCTCCGCCGGCTCTCCCGCCGCAGCCTCCTCTACCTGGAAGATCGCGAGTGGGATGAGTGGGACGATTACGCTGCGTTCGATCCCCTGCGCGCGTTCCCCGCCGCACCCGCCGCCGTCTCCGTCGCATGGCGCGCAGCCATGGCCTCCGTCTCCGCATTCTGGACACGTGTCGTCGTGCTTGTTGACGACCCACCCACCCCCTCACGCGCACTCGCAGACGCCCTCGAGTGGTCTGCCAACCGGCCGCTCGACGTGCGTGTGTGTTGCCGCGTCGACGCGTACGACGACGCCTCAGATCCCCGCGAGCGCGCGCGTGTATGTGCTGCGCTCGCGCTGCTGACGCCGCACATGCACCGCTGGCGCAGCTTCAGCGTCCACGCGCTGCACGCGACATCGCTGCCCCGTCCATACGCTGACCTCGTTGGCCGCGCGCCGCTGCTCATCAGCCTGCTTCTCGACTCCGTCGACGGTCTCGCGCCGGACCCGGAGCCCGACGCGCCCAGCCACACGGACAGGATGCTATACGCACCCGCACTGCGCTTCCTATGGCTCGACGGGAACACCCTGCGCGATATGTACGTCCGCCCGGGGCGCGCGCAGTCACTCGCTCGGGTCGTGCGCCTGACGGTGTCGCACTACCGGCAGGACGGGGTGCCGTTCAGCGTGCGCGCGCTTGTGAAGTTCCTATACACGCTGGACGCGCTGTGCAACCTCCTGCTGGACGACCTCGCGCTGGACGTGTGCGGGAGCGGCGCGCTGATCTTCGACTATCGGCTCAACCGGCTGTCGTGCGACCGGCTCGCGGCGCCCGTGCTCTCCGAGTTCTGGCGGCTGTACAGGTACAGCCCGAATCACCTGAGCCTCAAGCGCTGCACATTTGAGCCTGCAAGCATGGACCTCGGCAGCACAATGTGCCTGTCGCTGAGTGATATCGACGGGGACCAGGACCTGGCGGGGCTGCTTGACCGCTGGGGTTATGGTAATATGTATACGGAGCTGCGGGTTCTCCGATGTCCCGGTTTCGACGATGCACTACTGGAAGCGATGGCGACGCCGCATAACGCATTCGGGGGATGGCTGTGCCCGGAACTGACGAGCCTGGAGATTTACGAGTGCGAAAGCTACTCAGACGCGTCGCTAAGGCATATGTACCGCGCGCGGTTGCATGCGCATGCAAGTACGGAGTTCGCGGAGACCGGAGAGGAGGGATTTGAGGTGACCTCCATTGATGACGTTTATACCGATCGCGTCGGGTGGCGATAACTGGTAGTAGTGTTTTTTGCTGGGACCGCTGGAGTTTGCCTGCGTTTGTCTGCGCTGTATGCTGGAGGGCTTGTTCGTGTCCCTAGCATTAGTCTTGGATAAGGTTCATTTGCATATCGCCATCAGGCATTTTCAGGCAGCCATCAATGGGTTCGTCGCAGTACGCTCACGCATGCATCGCGACTGCATGCTGACTGTCAGCTCCTTAGGGCCCTACGTGACGAGCATCCGGGTTTATTTCCAGAGGGCGCATATTGACTACGTATCGATACAACTGCTTCTTACTATTTGCTCTTCCAGGATTCACGGTGAGAAATCCAGTTATTTTCTTGATTCCCGGTAACTTTGGGATTGTCTGTGTCAGTTTGAGGGGTCCGCACCGTATGACGCGTGTTGGCCTTACACGTGAACGCATTTTTATTTCCGAAACGATCTTGAATGTCACGTCCCGTTGCGGCGCCTAAGGACACGTCCAAAATATAGAGCAGGTAGAACTCAGGGAAACTCAGACAAGGTTGCCGACAACGAGCACATAGAACGGTAAGATCTCTTGGCGAACGATAGCATCTCCCGGCCAGCACGAACCTGAGTTGCGCGTTTTGAAGCAGACCTATATATAGTGATCGTCTCCCCTATACAAAAAGGTTATAATAGTTAAGGACTGCCTACGGGATACAAGGATGATCATGTAGTCGACGATATATCTTAGCAGCGCTCTTTAGTATAGTTTGATTGTCCACGTGCCGTTGACGCCTTGACCAAACAAATAAGTATCGCGGAAGCGCTGTATATGGGTGGTGTACATGTCGCGCCGATACACCTCGCGGCAAAGTATACGCTACGGCGGAACGGCCGCTGCGTATGCAGTTTGGATCGCAGCATGAAGCTGTCGCATCCCCTTAGTAACCAGCTCGAACTCATCCAAAACATCCAAGGCAAACTAGAAGGTGCGTCCGCACATTGTCCAGTGATCTACACGCATAACGTTCTCACAAACTCTTAGATGCCCACATGGAATTGGAACTGGACGACATTCTGATGGCGGACGCCTTTGCGGATGACGATGGTCTGCCGCTTGAGGAGAATGGATGTGCGCCGTGGGGCGGCGACGTGCGCTTGGACGCGCTCGACACCATGTCCTTAGACCCACCAGACGTAACGTCTCCCACAGTACCACCTGTTGCAAAGACCCCGCCCCGCCACGCCTCCATGTCTGACATGCCCTTCGACATCCTCGTCCTCATTCTCAAGCAGCTCCACCAGCTCTCCCGCCGCAGCCTCTTCCTCCTGCAAGACAGCGATTGGGACGAGTGGGACGACTACGCTGCGTTCGATCCCCTGCGCGCGTTCCCCGCCGCACCCGCCGCCGTCTCCCCCGCGTGGCGCGCAGCCATGGCCTCCGTCTCCGCATTCTGGACACGTGTCGTCGTGCTCGTTGACGACCCACCCACCCCCTCACGCGCACTCGCAGACGCCCTCGAGTGGTCCGCCAACCGGCCGCTCGACGTGCGCGTGTGCCGCCGTGTCGACGCGTACGACGACGCCTCAGACCCCCGCGAGCGCGCGCGTGTATGTGCTGCGCTCGCGCTGCTGACGCCTCACATGCACCGCTGGCGCAGCTTCAGCGTCGATGTGCTGCATGCAGCATCGCTGCCCCGTCCATACGCTGACCTCGTTGGCCGCGCGCCGCTGCTCATCAGCTTGCTCCTCGACTCTGTTGACGGCCGCGCGCCGGATCCGGAGCCGGACGCGCCCAGCCACACGGACAGGATGCTATACACACCCGCGCTGCGATTCCTGTGGCTCGACGGGAATACACTGCGCGACGCATACGTCCGTCCGGAGCGTGCGGGGGCGCTCGTGCGGGTCATGCGCCTGACGGTGTCACAGTACCGGCGGGACGGTGTGCCGTTCAGTGTGCGTGCGCTCGTGTACTTCCTGTACGCACTGCCGGCGCTGCAGAGCGTCAAGCTACACGACCTCGCGCTGGATGTGTGCGGGAGCGGTGCGCCGCTCCTCGACTACCAGCTCAACCGGCTGTCGTGTGACCGGCTCGCAGCGCCCGTGCTCGCTGAATTCTGGCGGCTGATCGACGGTTACAGCCCGAATCACCTAAGCCTAAAGCGCTGCACGTTTGAGCCTGCAAGCATGGACCTCGGCAGCACAATGTGCCTGTCACTGAGTGATATCGACGGGGACCAGGACCTGGCGGGGCTGCTTGACCGCTGGGAGGGCGTGATCTACCCGGAGCTGCGGGTTCGCCGGTGCCCCGGGTTCGACGACGCACTGCTGAACGCGATGGCGACACAGCATAATGCGTTCGGGCGATGGTTGTGCGCGGGGCTGAAGAGCCTGGAAGTGTACGAGTGCGAAGGCTACTCGGACGCGTCGCTGCAGCGGATGATCGACGCGCGGACGATGGTGCATGCACGTTCTGGGTTCGCGGCGGTCGGAGACGAGGCATTTAAGGTGGCAGCCATTGAGGACTTTGATTCCGATCGCCTGCGCGCGTCGGACGATGGCGATGACTGGTAGTAGTGGTTCTGCTCGGGTCGCTGGAGTTAGTGTGTGTTTATCTGCGCTGTATATACTACGTGCTGGAGGGTTTGTACTTGTGTTACTAGGATCAGTCTTGGACTGTGTATCGCTAACAGCATTTTTACGCGATGATCAATGCATTCGTCGTATTACGCTCACGGATGCATCGCGACTGCATGCTGGCTGTCAGCTCCTTAGGGTTCTATGTGACGAGCATCCGGGTTTATTTCCAGTGGGCGCATATTGACTACGTATTGATACAACCGCTTCTTACTATTTATTCTTCCAGGATCAGCGGTGAGAAATTAAGCAGGAGGCCATAACAGAATGGAGCTCATAATGTCTCTAGAGGGCGCGCTACCAGCTTGACACCGCTGACCGCATCGTGCCTCATCTTTTCTAAGCCGTCCACTATTCCGTTCAGCCCACCAGGGAGAATCTCGACCCGATTCGGCTACCACAATCAATCGTCGTTAGCAAAAGTCGAAATAGGCTGGGCATGTCTAAACATGCCTGTATAGCTCCTTCGGCCAGCAAACTAGGTAATGCTTTGTATAGGCTGACGCCGAATGCGTGGTTCTCGGCCGGATGGTTGACCTGTCCAAGGGCCATCACGATGCGCTTGTTGCTAGTGACGGTGATGGTGGGCGGTAAGGAGAGGACAAGGCAGCCTCCAAGTGCAAGGAGGTCGTGTGCAATGTTCTGAGTCTCCGGAACAGCAACGGCGTCAAAGATTGTCTCGAGCGGTTCGGCGGTTATATTGGCGATGGTAGTTTGAAGGCTAGCAGCGGGCAGATAGCGATCGATGACATGCGTCGCACCGAGAGCTTTGAGATATTCGGCGTGGCGCAGCGAAGCGGTGACAATGATCGGAGAGAAACCTGAAAGTCTTGCGAGCTGCAGTGCTGCCAGAACCATATGAGCGCATGCTACTGCTATGACCAAACAACAAGCACCCTCACCATACTGGCCAACAGAGCTCGATGCGTCAAACACCACGAACGGCTTGCCCTTGTATTTGCCTCGGCCGTCCGCATCCCAGGGCGCAATCAGCTGTGCGCTACCAAAATGTGCATTTGTCGGGCTTCGCGGCAAGTAAAGCCCAAGAGCCGCTGTTGCTAAGCCTGCGGGAATAGTGGCCGCTTGATCGAAGGTCAGATGCTCAGGGATCTGAGTGAAACCATCATGATTCAAGGTCGGGTGTAACGGACGTATACACACCTTCATCGTCACATCAGCGTTGGAAATTGTGTATTGTTGGAATCCAGCTCGCGAGAATGTGAGGATGCCTTCCGTGGAGCTGTTGGGCAGTCAATGCTACGATATCTGCTACTCTCGAAGCCACCATGACGTAGACTCTATCGCCTTTCGAAAAATTATCGACATCGTCGCCGAGGGCCTCGACAGTGCCAGCGATGTCTACTCCAAGGATGGCAGGGTAGTCTTCTACGTACAACCCGTGCACTTGGATGTTCCAATCCACTGGATTCAAGGCAGTGGAGTGCACCTTAATCAAGAGTTGGCCGGGTCCGGGAGTAGGGATCGGCACCGACTGTATTTCAAACAGGCCCTGTTTCGCCGGAAGAACGAGGGCCTTCTGTTGGTTAGGCATGTCGGAGATACTGACAATGACGGACTGTCATGCGATGGGCGGTTTTATACTTCGAGAGTGCATCATGACGTCATCCACACGATGAATCAGCAGGCATAGGAGAGACCTACAGTGTGTTCATACCATGCAAATACCTCGTGCGATTGCGAACTTTGAAGGCTACTTTGTCACCACCGACGGGACCTAGGCAACTGACAGGCTTACCAAGCCGCACTTTACCTGCAGAGATCTCCGGCGGACTTTGATGTATGTATATCAGCAGCGCCTAGAAGAGCAGAAACGCTCACATTCTTCGCATGCCTTACCCATGTAGTACCGGCAATTGATACTCCTTCGGGATCATCTACAGCCTCAAGCGATGCGGTTCGCTGCTTATGGGCCGTACTGATATCAGTAAGCAGAATATGTTGAATACACTGTTTCAGGGGTTTGTTTCCATTTCGCTTGCTATGCTTGTACATACATGGCTGCGCGGCGACGACGTGAAGTTCTGATTCAACATGGATTGGATGTGCACTGAATGCAATGTGGAGCACACTACGCGATCACGTGGTGCTCAACCCACACGGCGCTTAATGACGCGTCCTCGACGTCGTGGCTAGAATGCAAATTGCTGCTATTATTCACGTATTGCTTGATTTCATCCAACAAGTCGCCTCAGCGGAATCCTTCCATCTTTTTCAAACACGCAGGATGACCAATCCCTGCAAGTGACAAGTCAACTCAAGCCGACGTGGTATCTAGTATCTTCTCTCCGTTTCTCTCTAAATCCCAAGATTCCTGGCCACTGAGGCTTGCGGACCCGTTTTCGGCCGCCCTGATCGTCTAGCCGTTGCCTGTTGCTGATACTGCCTTCATTGTTTATAGACATGATTATCCATGCAATATCAGCGAGTTTCTGGTGGACATTCGAGCTCAAGTCGAAGTGGGAATGAAGGCCGCCTGTTCACTATCGTAAGCATTGCATGCGACTATTCCTTGCTATTTCAGCATTTTGGCGACTTACCCACGCTGCTGCCGGCACTGACATTGTCCCGAGTAAGTTACCATGTCCAGAAAACTATGATGTCGCGCAACAACAGCATGGTTCGCAATTTGTACAATGCCTACATGATTTATCAGCGCACTCTGCTTACGCTTACGCCAGAAAATCTGCTTCCACTAGGCGGCGTCAAACTCCTGACTATGGCTTGAGTCGCCTTCGATAACGCGGTCACACTAAGCGCAAAGGACTTGCGAGATCACCAGACGCATCAGGCACCAAACAGTCAACGGGGCCCAGAACAAGTGCTTGCGCATCCAGGCAAAAATGGCGCAGGTGGCTGCGAGATCTAGTGAACTTCGGTCAATGTCACGTTGCGCAACGGAACGGAACGTCAGTCACTCCCGCTACCTTACTACGAGTAAGTCTCTCGCCAATTCCAGCCGTGTCGCTATGCTGACATGTCGAGCGGGAATTGCGATTGATCACAATAAGACGTAGCTGCCATTGTCAAGACGCATCTGTGCGGTCTGGTTGACTTTTGCGAGATTTTCATAGGCCGCCAACAGAAAATCTTGCATATTGCAGACATCCGCACATAGTGATAAGTCGAATATTCCATTGGCTTCATCGTGTGGGTTATTGTGTAAATCTTGTTACCTACAGGATCCTCGAACAAGCGAAGGTATCTAGATCGGCGGAAGCGACACCGTTGCATTTCCAGGGGAGTCGGATATTCTGTGCACTTTAAGCCCACAAAGCAGTCGATGCTCTTTTCGGTCCCTACAACAATTTGATCAGCGACGCCTAAGACTAGCAACTCCGAGACCCACTTGGTACGGCAGGCTGGCCCACAATACAACGTGTCATCGCACTGTTCGCAACGCACCAACGCCAACTTTGTACACGACCTCCTAGAGCAGGCATTCGGATCCACACAAGCCACCTGAAGCCTGTACAGGAGATCCCAGGCGGACCGGTCCCAAGACTCCTCGGGGACTACCTCATTGTTTACAACGCGTGGTCCAACCTTCTCTCGTGGCTGTCCATCGGGAGCAAACGCTTGTTCAACAAGCGCGCGCAATGCGCGCGGACGAGGGAGCTCTGGACGTAAGAGCTCAATGACCGAAGGGTCTTCCAACATCCCATGCACGTGAGCGAGAATGCGGCACAGCTGCCCTGTAGAACGCAAGCAGGTGAGTGATAACGGTAGAGAAAGACGATGAAGTACGTACTAGTGACCCGTACATGAGTTACGCAACGTGGGAGCGCGGCGTCGATGGCGCCAAAGAAATCCGTTCGCACCCAGAGGGCAAGAAGTGAGCAGATCTCACTTCGGCCATTCTCCCAGCAGTCCGAGAAGATGTCTCCAGCGACACCAAGGACAGGAAGGAAAAAGCTGTCCCACGGAAATTCATGTTGTGCACCGAGCGGTGCCTCTTTCGTGGCCTTGCGCATTGTGGCGAACAAGTGCGCCCATAGCCCAGACGAGCGCCAGAACTTGGGGATAAATGCAGGCTGCTGCGCTTTTGCGAGGAGGTACATATGCATTATAAACTCAGGCATAATGGCTGCGCCCTCTGGCGGAAGCGTGGCAAAATGTACGGCGGTTTTGGCGAGAATCTGCTCGATAGAGCTTGCGCCGCGAACCATACGTGTTAGGGCGTTCGTGGGGGCTGGATATGTGTCGCGGTATGTAGCAAGCGCTGGGGTCCCGGGTGATACAAGCTCTATGAGAGTGCGAGTTATATCTCCTCCATCGTCGCTAGTAGTCGCATGCATGAAGTAACGAGTGAGAAGGGATATCGTAAGATCAGCGTCATCATCTATAACGCTGCAGAGTACAGCAAAAGAAGATGGATTGATGAGCGGGGCAGCACAACGGAGGGACTGGAAGATACCTCAAGAAGGTCGGGTCGATGGTCACAAAGCGCATGATGAGCTGCGGAATGACTCTGCGCTCACGAACGTGTATGTCCCCTTTCATCAACGTGTTCTGCGGGTTGTTCCATAACTAATAACGAAGTCGTGAGACGATTCCGCACGACGTTTGAGCAGTGATGACGGACATGCTTCATCATGTCATTCCAAGTCCTCCGGAGTGTATTTATTAATATGAGATCGGTAGGTCTTAGCACATCCGGCATCGTGAAGGCCGCATTGCAAAGAGCCTCCAAAGGGCCAAAGTAAGTAGAGGATTCCTGCTTCAAAGATATGAGAATCAGGACATGGAGTCTGCGTCTCCATTATCTACCTGTTCCACTGCTCCTAGCTTCCCGTCTTCTTCGGGAGTCTTCGGCATTGGAACATGCTTTGTAACCATTTCACATAGTCTATCGATTACTCCGCGATGTACTAACTTGTGCCACTCTTCTGTGTTCTTCATTGCAGCATATGCCACAGCAGTAACCGCTGCATCAATGTCCTACAATGCTTTAGATTTCACGATGCGCTGGAAATGTATGTAGCTCACTCTTTCGGTATCCCCCCAGCGATTACGTCGTCTCTTTGGACCCAAACCGAGTGTGCTCATGATGCGTTCCGGACCCGAGGTAGTCATGACGATCCACTTGTGTTCATGGTCTTCAGAGGACGCGGAAGATTGCGCTTCTGCGGACATTTCCCAAAGTTAACGAGATATTTGCGTTCTGATGCCAGGTGTGTATTCGGTTTAAAGCTCGAGGACGAGACGCCACATTGTGGCAACAATGGCTTATATAGCTCATTCACGTGCCAGTATCTGAGCGACTCCGATGACAAGTGTAGCTTTCCCTCCATTCCGGTTTGGATGACAGGAGACGACGGCGAACAGTCAAAGTTAATACATGAAGACGATGGCAAACAGCCCAAGACTAGGACCAAAAAAGATAGCGGGAGAAGGTTAGAACGAGCTGTCACGGCATCTCAAGCAAATCCCAACTATCCAAATACGCTATCTCCGATGTACCATATGAAGAAGAAATGTCGTGACGCCCAGCGATGTCCACCCACAGATCTTCGTTAGCTTGTCACTCACATACGCCCCATTCATTCCGTCTCCTGGGGATGGGCGACAAGCTTGACATTGCTAACACCTTGCCTGAGTCTCGCCAAGCCTCCAATGATGCCCTCCAAACCATCTGGCAATACTTCGACGAGATTTCCCTGTTCTTTCGGTCAGCTTGCTGCATTGGACCACTTAGAGGAGATACTGACCTGGATATCGCCATCTTCCAGCAACACAGTGAGCTCGGAATAGAGGCTTCTTCCGAGCCTCCGATTTGCATCTGGTGTGTTCGTATTTCCGCTTACCTGCACGACACGCTTATCGGATCTTTTCTTTTTCTTGTCAATAGCGTCCCCAAGCACCAGAACGAGACACCCCCCTGGAGCGAGAAGGTCGTATGCTAGATTCTGCGTCTCCGGGATGGCTACGGCGTCGTAAATAGTCTCGATCGGTGCTGTGGTGATCGCCGATACTTCTTCGAGAGTCTCATCTGCAGAAAGGTGGCGGTCGATCACATGGGTGGCCCCGAGCTCGAGTAAGTAGTCTGCATTTTGCGGTGAGGCCGTCGCGATTATGGGTGAGAACCCTGCGAGCACGGCGAGCTGAATAACTTGGGGGCATGATCAGGTACGATAGACTTCAAAGAGTGTCTGAGGACTGACCATATTGGCCCACGGAGCTGGAGCCGCCAAAAACCATCAATGGCTCATCCTCATATAGACCGCGTCCGTCCTCTGTCCACGGGGGGACTAGTCCAGCACTCTTTTCTGGAGTGTGCTTGTTGAACAGCCCTAGCGCCGCTGTCGCGAGTGCGAGGGGGATTGTCGCCGCTTCTTCGAAGGATACGTCGTCCGGGATCTGACCTCGGTCGCTTCTGTTCGTAGGGCGATGTTAAAATAACGCAAACTCACTTGAGTAGTCACGTCTGCATATCCGAGTGTATATTGTTGAAAGCTTGCATGCTCGTTGACATTCAACATTCCCTGCGTAATCCTACAGTACGTTGTGATCTAAGCTCTACCTAACTCAAACCAAGCTTGACTCACACTCGATCGCCGCTCGCAAACCCTGTAACACCTGGCCCCAGCGCCTCGACGGTGCCGGCGATATCACTACCAAGGATCGCGGGGTAATGTGTGATGATAGCGCCGTATGCTTGAATCTTCCAGTCGACCGGATTCAGCGCCGTAGCAGCGACCTTGATGAGAATCTCGCCAGATCCGGGTTTTGGGATCGGGATGGTGTCTACGCGGAAGGCACCCTGCTTGGAAGGGAGGATGAGGCCTTTCTGTGTCGGCATCGTGGAGCCCTTAGCAGCGCTTAGCTTTGGGGTAAGAGGAAATCCCAAGACCCCTAGCGTAGGTACTTATACCGAGGAAGCGTCGGCCATTTTGTTTCCGCAGTCACCTATCTCGGAGGGCGGTGATGTTTCGGAGCCAGCTGCCCTCGTCCTCGTGTCGCTGCAGGGCCAGCGCTCGTAAGTAATGGACGCCTGATGGAAAGCCGGATTTGCTACCTTGTGCGTCCGTTGTGAGCTTGCGATGCGACCACAAAAGGGCCATGAGACCAGATGTCATCATGCACTGCTGGGCATGTGCATGTGTCGTATGCTGTGTAGGCATTCGCACGGTAATGCAAGGTTGCATGTTGTAATTCGACCATCTATTTCAGCGCCGCAGATACCTCCTGACGTGTGCCGTTCAGATGGAACCGATCACCAGTGCCCTTTTAGAAGATGAGGATGGCTTGCATTGAGCTTGTATATCGAAGTGCTTGCGATAAATCGACTAGACAATGATATGTTACAGTACGGATTGCTATTCCCTTTCTTGACAGTAGATATCCATCCAAGTGAGTGCACGTCACGTTATAGCAGAAAGATAATCAAATAGCGTGACGAGAGTCCGACAATGATGTGTGTCGCCTGCGTCCGATACCCATTCCAACACGTACGAGCGTTTCTAAACATGCCCGGCTATTGATGAGAAGATCTTCGTCCCATTCAACCACTCCCTTCTCGAATAAAACGACAATGGTCGAACCTCCTAAGCGCACGAGATCCACGAAGTCAGCTATGCCGCTGCAACAATCTCAGACAACAAGATTTACCAAAAGCAAAGTATCCAAGCTCTTGCCCTCGCTTCACCTCGTCGCCATTGTGAACCGTCGTCATGATACTTCCAACCATCATCGCTCCGATGCAGACAGCCATGACCCGACCAAATTGCGGACTGTCGATAGGCACGACCTTTCTTACGTTCTCGCCGTAGACGTCGAGCGCAGTACGTATTGCTTGGGGCTAGAAACTCAAACATGTTCAACGTGTATTCCTAGCGAACGAGACCCAACTCACGTTGACAGTATAATATTCTCCTGCAATGTACGACATTGGCCCGATCGTCCCGTCTACTGGCGAGTGAAAGCGATGATAGTCCTGTGGGGCTAACCGAAATATGCACAGAGCGCCGCCGGCATAGTGATCCCATTCTGAGCGATAGCGCTCTCCAAGCAATCGCGCAACCGTGAACTCTCGACCCTTGATCCATAGTCGAGTTGCCTCATTCACGGTTTCGAATACCATCAGTCGGCAGTCTGCCCCGCTGACAAGCCGACACGGATCGTCGGGGCACTCTGTCAGCCTTGCACCTGGCTTCAGCTTCCTAGCGAAACATAAGCGTCAACATGATAATAGTTGCAGCACCATCCCAATCTACCTGTAGAAGAACTGATTGAAGGTTTCTGATGCGGATACGTTAGCTATGGCCAATGTGTGGTAGCGATCAGTACTTACTGAACGATCTCAACGGCTCTGCAATCTCGTCGACATTGAGGTTGTGGAACGCAATGAACGTCGGGATCTCCTTCGCGGATTCGGTGGAATCGTACTTATTGCCTTGCTTGATCGACATAGACTTCAGGAGACGCCGTGCTACGTGACTGTCAACGACAGCCAGGACGATACAGCAAGTCTCGCTGACCTCGCGCGCCTTCCATCCGGCTCTTCCAGCCCTGCACGAGGCAGCTTTAACACAAAGGCTCTATGACACTAGCCAACATCCACGCACCTTGTAGAGCAGTCGAATGCCTAGCCGTACGTACACCTGCATCTTCTCTTCTTCCAGCTGTCCAGTAAGCCGATTCTGGACAATGATGTTTGCGGAATTCTGCGTTGGGATGTCAGATTTACGCGATAGACGAAGACGCCGTAAGCAACTCACTGCGCCAAGCTTGTAGTTACCGCTGGACACCTTCGTGATGACTTTTGTGTACCACTTCCGCTGCGCCTGGCTCGCCGTCACGAAGTTGCTCACCATGATCCGGTCCACGGTTGACCAGTCCTGGCTCGCGCAGATGGCGACGTGTGTCACGATGTCGACTTCCGCCTTCGAGTTCAGCCGCGGTCGGTGACACAGCGGACACGCCTTGATGTTGATCACGCGCTCAAACAAGTCGTCCGTCGTCTTGGGCGCGCTCGAGCCTGACGTCGACGCTGAAGTCGACGCCATTCCCAACGGCGAGCCATTCGAGCCCGACGAGTCTTCCTGGTCAGAGGATGAGTCGGACCCCTGACGCGTGAGCGCTCCCGACCCTGGTAGGTTGGGCACCGAATGAGACGTTGGGAAGTGCGCGACATCCGTGATGGGCTGCTGCATCGGCTCGGTCGCGTGCGGTAATGGCGGGGCGGGCTTGTGCACGAGATCGCTGTCCGACACAATATTGAGGCCTGGAATGACCAGAGGGGGGCCGGCAAAATCGAGTTTGTCGAGGTTCAGCGTGAGCTGGTGCTCGAAGCCGTTGCCCGCGATTGCAGCGGGCGTAACGGGCGCGCTCGAGTCGAACGCGTTGTCCTCCGGGTCAATGAGTTTCTTTTCGCTACGCGGGCGACAGAGCTCCGTCTCGAGGCACTGAATTGCCTCGTCAATCGTGAGGAAGTCTTCACGTGGACTCTTACCAAAGCGCGTGAAGAACGAGTTGACAGTGTCGCGCGAGAGGGTGGAGCCGAGCGAGTCGAGCATCGACGTGAGCTCGACGTGCGAAAGCGCGTTGGCGTCGTCTGGGTCATACTGCTTCAGGTATTGCCTCCAGAAGCGCTGCCTCAGCGCGTCGTACGGCTGATACTTTGCTCTAACCGTGCCCTCGTCAGTCTGTATGCTCTCTCTGCTGCAAAGGGCGACGCACCGTACGCTAAGCACAGGCTTATGCTTCGCCTCCCATGCCATCTCCTTGGCCGTCGTGAGCGACAGCTGGAAGTCCTGCATCGCGTGTAGGCCGTCGACATCATGCGGGTACAGGCCCGTCTCCTCGTCCTTCTGCGGCGCGTTCGCGAGCAGCTCGGACACGCTGAAGCTCGCGTCGCCGACGTGGTCGTTCGACGAGAGCTTGTCCCAGTCGAGCACCGTCAGCTGCACATTGAACGTCGTCTCGTACCGCCGCACGTGAAACAACAGCTTCTCGTCCCAAGTCGGATTAAGGGAATGCCGGATGACGCGCGTCCTGAAGACCTTCTTCCCGAACGAGACCACCACGAACGGGTCCATGTCCCACCCCATCCGTGTCACTGGCAATATGGTCAGCAGGCACACCTCATGGGTACCGAAAAGGCATACTGTTCTTGAGTTTCGGCAGGTCGCTCGCGCTGTGAATCTCGAGCATGACGATCCCGAGGATATCGTTCTCCGCCGAGAAGTTGAAAGCGTTCTGCTTCCGCCCGCCCCACGACCTGCGGAACTTGGCCCGAGGGGCCAGGGACGGTCGCGCAACGGGCGTTGATGCCGCAGACATTGTCCCGTGCACCGACGGTGACAGATTCCCTGGCGAGCTCGCCGAGCTCGACATCCCCGGACTGGGCAGCGGCGACTCATGGTTAGGTAGCTTGCCCGATGTCGAGCGTCGCGGGAAGATCTTTGGAATGTTCTTGAACGACGGCGATGGCGGCTTGGGTGCCACGGGTGTCTTTGCGCTCGTGGGCGATGGCTGCGTAGGCGTCACGGGGGTATCGCTGGCGGTGGCGGCTGCGTTCACGGCAGCTGCTTTGGGGGTATGCATGGCAGGCGTGGGGGTAATGGCCGGTGACGCTTGCGGCGCGGCAAGCGGCAGCTCAGATGGGATTGGCGGGATGTAAAGCTGCGCGAGGGCGGGGACATCGTCTTCTTCGTCATCGCTTGTCTCACCCTCGTCAGATGTTAGACCGTCATCTTGATATTCGGGGCCCATTTGGTGCGAGCGGATCGTGCCAATGCCCTCTGTCTAAGATGCTGTGCATCAGTGTATGACTTGTGCAAGCGAAAGAGGCACATACAGGGGGTGCGGAGACGAGACTCGGGCGTGACCGCTTGACAAGTTCTGAGAATATCTCGCTGTAGTCTACTACGTGTGGGTGGTCAGGCGAAGGCACGAAGCCCAGCTTGACCTGAATCGACCCCGACGCTGGGGCAGTGGACCTCGTCGACACAATGGAAACCGTGATCGGCTGTAAGCAGACCGTTCAGTACAGATATAGTATGCATCGCAACTAGTAGCGAAAACCGCGAAGGGCCTGCAGAACAAGGCAGCCTTCAAAGGCGAAGTGAAAGGCAGCGCATAAGCGCCGCAGGCGCAATAGATTCAGACAGTGGAAGACATCTCTATGACGCAGTGTGCAGGCACATTATAGTGCTGTGCTGTCATGGGCAGCGTGCTCGCAACACCCATGCAAAGTCAAGTTCCCAAAACAAAGACGTGCCCCTTTCATGCTATGCAAGAGTCAAACACCGTGCCTACACCGCGCTCAGGCGTCTGGAGGTGCGACAGCACCAGTAAATCTTCCCGTACACCTTCCTCGAATACCAATCTGAATAGGCGGCTTCTGCTGGGAAAACCACCAAGGTTGCTTTCCGCCTCCCTGAGACAGGGAGCACAAGACTAGGCACACCCTTCACTCCGCCTTTAACTCTGCAGCAGTACAACTTGATATGCAAGCCTCGCGTGGATACACCTGCCTTTCACTCTGCAATAGATTGTTCGTGGCACACGACGCACCTTGTTGGCAGGATCGTCAAAGGCAAACGCGTTTCCATCACGGAACCAGTCCTCGAGAGGGACGTTGGCCTCGCCCAGATAGTCCTTGCGCAGAAGGACATCCTTTCCCCATACGACGAACTCAACGACACCGAGGCGATCGGCGAGCGAGAGATAGATAGGGAAGGCGAAGGTCGCGTCCTTGGGCGGATAGGTCGGGCTGAGCGTGCGCTTGACGACTGGGGTCTGGTGGCGATCCCGGAGCAGCGATACGACGACGAATCTGGATGAGGAGGCATGAGGCGGTCAGGCCGGCAGCCGGCTTGGGAGTCAGTGTTGGCGTAGATGTGCGGAGAGCGGGAGAGACGCACGGATCGCTGGTACCGTGCTTGTCCTTGGCGACGAGGTTGGTGCAGCCGAGGACCTGTACGCGGAGGTACACGACGGGGACCTCACCGGACAGCGGGGAGTAGGTGTTCCTGCCGCTGCCGCGGCCGCCCGACACGCGCGCAGGCAGACGGGCGGCGGTCTTGAGGGCGCGGCCTAGCTTGAGGCGTTGCTTCTTGGCGACAGCGACCATGGGCTGCTGGTGGGCGTGGTGAGGAGGGGCGACGACGGAGGGACGGACGAGGATGGGGGCGGAGTGCAAGCCGGCGTACGACTATAATTAACGGCGCGCGGTCGGTGCCGCAATGCTATACGCGCCCCGAGTCGGCTGCCTTACTTAATCCATTCATGATCTCACTCGCAGACGGACATTGCAACAAAAAAACTGGTATTATAATCCAAGGGTATTAGGCAGATAAGTGCACCCAACAAGCGCATCAATTACCCAAGTAAACTGTAGTCCGTTCCTACAGCCCAGAAACAAAAGGGGAGGACGAGGAACGTGGTAAACAACGTAACGACTGTCCTCTGCTACTCGAATTACGCGAGACGCTCGTCGTGACCCCTCCACGGAGTACAACAAATCATGATATCGTAAGTAGATCTAGCACAATGTACCACTACTACCTTACGCCATGAACATCACCGCGAATGCGACACCAGCAACGGTCGCCAACGCCGACACGCGAAGAGCACCTGCAGCACCCGTGTTTGCATCTGCGCCAGTCGCGCTCGCGCCGCCAGCAGAGCCAGTGCGGGTAGCACCAGCGGAGGAGCCGCCGCGGCCGGTGCCCGTGGGCGCCGGGGTAGCAGACGCACCACTGCCCGACGCAGCGTTGGTGGGCACAACAATGTCGGTGTAGAGAGCGCTCGACGCGAACGTGCGGCAGTTGGATGAGGAGGGGATGGTGGGAGTGTAGGGAGCAGAGACAACACCGGACCAGGGCTGCACCCAGGTGGTCGTGACACCGTTCGAAACGTACTGGCCAACGGGGCTCATCGGCTCAGCATCGCAGACCTCGAAAGTACCGTTCTTTGCAGCGTTGGGGCAGTTGTAGCCAATGCCAACCTCGTCGTAGATGTTCTGGCACAGACCAACGTTGTTGGCGTCAGTCTGGTCGGGGTTGCAAATCTTGATGCAGAACGTGTCGCTCCCGATGAACCTGTCAAAACCCGTCAGCGAAGGCCCACCATGAAAGTTTTATTTATACGTACTGTGTCCATTCGATCACCTGGGAGAGGGAGTTGTTGTTCGTGTTGCCAGTGGGGTATTGGTTGGAGTACACCATGGCACCCATAGGGTTACCGAGCTGTAAGGCAGCATCAACATCCGCACTCGAGACGGCGGCAAACTGCATGAAATACTCACCAAGTCAGCACCGTGGGGGTCAAGCTCACCTCCATAGTCATTAGGTGCAAGGTTGATCTGGGTCTGGTCGACGAAACCGACGATCATGATGTATGCGGAGGTGACAAGGTATTGCACACCCTGAAGGGTGCCCTCGGGCATGGTACGCGAACCGTGGCCCTTCTTCGAGCACCAGGCGACCTCGTATGCCTCCGACTCGCCGATGGTGTTGTTGGGCGTCGGCGAGGACCACAGGCAGAAGTCTGCATGAATACTCAATTAATTGAGTCCACTAACACAAGGAACAGTAACGCACCGTCAATGGTGTTGACGACCAAAGTCTGGCACCATGACTCCTGGTTCTCCGTCGTAGAGTTACAAATGTTGTAACCCTCCTGGTTACCACGGATGTCACCTGTAGGCTCGACTTGGTAGGGCTAGAGAACGTCATGACAATCAACCGCTGTCGTCACCAAAGCAGGCCTACTGCAACTACAGGAAAGTACTTACGAGGTTAGAGTAGGCGTAGGTGTGGTCTACGAGGGGGACGATAGACGTCGTCGTCTGGGCTTGCGCACCAGACAGGGCCGCGGCGGCCAAAAGAGCGGAAAGAGCGACTGTGGACATGGTTGGCGAGACTGAGACAAAGGTTGGAGGATTAGTCGGAGGGGAGGTAGGGAACAACGCCCTCGAGGAGAAGGACGGACGAGAAGATGGGCTGGCGACCAAGGCCAGCACGCTCCTTCATATACCCTCTCCCTTGCGGTCTTTTCAGACTCAGACGGCGCCAACCGGCCGTGCCAGCCACCGCAGCGCTATTCTTGGCTCCACCCGCCGATCTCTGTCTCATAATTGGCTAGAGGCGGAGGGCGGCCATGCGAAGGGCTTGGCAAGCACACGGTCACGTCCCCAGAAGCGGTCGCGATGGGCGAGCCTCACGACATAAGCTTTTCCGAGGATCTTGCTCCATTCGGCTCCACCAACGGGAGCCCATGCACGATAATTACATCACCAGAGAACAGATACAGCGAGAAATACATCAGCGAGCCGACAACAGAGCATAACACATGATATAGCAGAAACACAACTAGACAAACAGGCACCGGGCGGCACGATAACATGCGACAGCGTTGAGAAAACGATGTTCAATCCCGCGTTCATCTCCTCCGTTTTCCCAGAGAGCTTGCAGGAGCGCACAGAGGGCCGCGTTCGATCCCAACATGTTCCGACGTGTCGAGTTCAACTCCGAGGTCGTCGGCCAGGTCCTGTGCCTCTTGCGGCGGAAGCGAATCGGTTGCAAGCTGCCAGAAGCTGTCCGAAGTCACGGTCAGTTGTTCCATTCGTAGCGCACAGACGCTCCTATAGAGGCAGCCTAGATGCCTGCCGAACAGAGAGGGCCTCGACTCAATCCGGACAGAATGTGGTCTCTGAAAGGGGTATACGCGTATCTTTATGCGGGTGTGAAATCAGCGGCACAGGGTTCTTCAGCATGATCGTAGGGACAACCCGTATCCCGAGCTCGAGCCCCCGATAGTGCGGACGCAAGAACACTTCGCAAAACCTAGATCAGGAGAGGCGACAGCACGCACGTTGTGAATATCTTCTTGCGGCGAACCCATTCGGCCCTCCACTTTGTCCAATCCGCGTCTAGTTGAGCAAGCTCGGTCGCGGATACAAGAGTCTTGCCAGAGCGCAGGGGCCGCAGTCGTTCCCGAATTCTCTGTACCTATATAAGCAGCCCGAAAGGTAAGCGAGCACACCCATGTCAGCGACGCAACCTCTGGGAGCGATGAGGGGGGTGCAAAGGATGGTGGTTCCCAAGTCAAGCTTACAACAGTGATGGCCTCGTTGAGGGATACAGCCAGTTCCGCGTCCGTTGGCGTGCTTCTAAGCTTGGCCAGTTCTATTTGAGCCAATCGTGAATACGGTGCGCGCGTGAGCGAAGACATAAAATACCGGACGACGAAGCCCTGACGTCGCCTGCCAGGGCCTTGTTGTCCTCCTCGATGGTCTTGTACTCGGTCTCCAGCGCTGCGAGCTTCTCCGCAGGCATATCCTCAAGGTTGGCCTGGTTAGCGACGAAGAATGTCGTCTTCCCTGTCCCCAGCGAGCGTCAGGGCATCAACACGAAGACATCACGAGTGCATGTATGCTGTATCCGGTCAGCACAGAGGGGCGGGCGGCGTACCATACGTCTTCTGCACGAGTTCGCCCTTCTCTGCGAGAGCGACAAGAATCTTCTGCGTTGCGGTCTTTGGGACGGCGCCCTTGAGGTTCGCAGAGACATCCACCGCGCCAAACGGACGGTTCATCTGCTCGGGAATGTGAGTTGAGTACGACGCTCTAGCTGCAACCGACACGCACCCGCTTGATGTATTCGAGTACCGTGTCCTCCGCTGCAGACGCATTTCAGGCGCATGATGAGCGCATATATGACCTCAATTGAGTGCGAGACAGGCAGGCACCTTCTTTGCCCTTAAGTACAGGCACTTTAGGCTCTACGGTCTTCGGTTTTGCAGACATTTTCCCGTGTCCAGAGGTGGGAGAACGAAGAGGAAGTAGGAAAGTGTGTCCGGGCGTCTGGTGCGAATCAAAGGCGGGGGATTCACGTGCGCGTCGGTGCCCTGCTCCGACTGCAGATGCGGGGTAAGTAAGGCTAGTCTTCGACTCGAAGCAGACCCGCTCTATCCCCGTGCAAGTCTGCCTCTGCCCTCCATCTCCCCCTCGCGCACACGACCAGCTTGCTGGGCCCAACGCCAACGAATAACATTTGACATCGCATGAACTAGAGCAGGAGACGGTCTCGGATGCGTTCAGATGGTTCAGACAGCAAACAGAGCTTCCACTACATAGTTCGCTCAGGTCTTGCTGGAGGTATCGCAGGTTGCGTCGTATGTGCTTCATACTCGCGTGCACATCATGCATGCATGTCTGATTGTGTGCCAAGGCGAAGACTGTCGTCGCACCTCTCGACCGCGTCAAGATCTTATTCCAGGCTTCAAATCCAGAATACCAGAAGTATGCCGGTACGTCAGACGCGCTCCCATATGGCTTATACACGCGCCTTCATGTTTAATGCAGGCTCGTGGAGTGGTGCATTTCGCGCCGCTGGGCATATTTACAAGGAAAATGGTGCTCGCGGGCTCCTGCAGGGGCATTCAGCGACCCTACTCCGCATATTTCCGTACGCGGCCATTAAGTTCATGGCATACGACCAGGTTGAACATGTACGTGTCTTCACATTAGGCTACGTTTGATGCCTTGCATTCGCCCAACTCCCGCCTGCTGTCTGCCAGCTTGTGTCAGCAGCCAGGGCACTCTATTTAAAGCCTCTAAGCGGCGCTGGTGCGTTCACTCGGCGCATATACATTTCAACGCATGTAAACAACCGGAAGATATATTCCCTCGCGTACTAAATCCGTCGCGTGTAGGAGCGATCGAGCAACTTGAGCTTTTCTGGGCTCATTTCAGCATCTGGCGTGCTTGCATTATTAGTTGTTACATCGCGCTACGTACGTCCATGGCTAACATTGCAACATGTAGATCCTCATGCCTACGCCGGAATCACAAACTAATGTCAGGCGGTTCTCTGCTGGTGCTATATCAGGTGCGTCTGCGCATACTCCGTCCCAGACAGACGTGCTCACCCATATGGTCAGGGGTGATATCTGTCTTCTTCACGTACCCCCTCGAGCTCATCCGCGTCCGCATGGCTTTCCTCACGCGCTCTTCCCCTCCTCACGGACTCCCATACGAACGTCCCACCTTCCTCCGTGTCATGTCCTACATCTACCGCGAAGGTGCCAGCCTCCCGCCATCCTCCGACTCCGCCCCCGCCTCCACCTCCGTCTCTACACGCGCGCTTTTCACGCGCTTTCCTATCCTGAAATTTTACCGCGGCTTCTCTGTCACGGTTGTCGGCATGGTCCCCTACGCCGGCACGTCCTTCCTCACTTGGGGCTTCCTGCGCTCTCAGCTTATCCCCCCACCTTCGCCGTCCCCGGACAAACCCGGCTCCTCCGATGTGTCACATATTTCGCGAGCGAGACCCACACCGCTCGCCGACCTCGCGATCGGTGCGGTCTCCGGCGCGATCGCGCAGACCGCGTCATACCCGTTCGAAGTTGTGCGGCGGCGCATGCAAGTTGGTGGGGTGACGCGCCCAGATCGCTGGCTGCGGTGGGGCGAGACGGCGCAGGCGATCTGGGGGGCGCGTGGCTGGCGCGGATTCTACGTCGGTCTGAGCATTGGATATCTGAAGGTCGTGCCAATGACTGCAGTCAGCTATGCGGTATGGCAGTGGGGAAAACGAGTGCTAGGCGTATGATGCATTGTCGCGTAAAGGTGAATGTGTGTATTCTAGTGTGTCACCGTTACCATGCTGCATCTTTGCGAAGTTGACGTGAGCTCATATACTCTACGCTTAAAGTGCCACAGTAATATGGCAACGGGATATGATGTGAATTTGGTATACCAGAGCGTCTTGTACAACATCTCATGCTACAGGAAAATCCTGCTACAATCTATACAGTACGTGCTGACAGCAATCCTAGACATAGACCTTTCTTACAGCAATTCACAAGCAGGCTGAGGTGGATGATTGTGAAGCATCGAGTCAGTATGGGCTCAGAGCAAGTGAATCGTCGCGTCCTGTCGCATCGTGAATTACGCGATCACGTGGGCCTGCCCGGCGGTGGCGACGCGACCCCTCTCGGTCTACTTCTCACTGACGTCTGATTTCCCATCCTGCTGTTTCTGTTTTTCAATCAAGCTATTATCGGCCTAGCAATGCCCCGCTTTTTGGACAAGCTTATCAGTATGGTAGCAGTCCAGCGCAAACATGCCAGTTCGTGTTGAGCTACGAGCTGTCTCCAACTCGAATTCAATAATCGGCGTCTACACTAAGGAATTGTTGCTGGCGTAATTGTTCGCGGTAGGTTTGCCTTTTCCATTTGGAGAAGAGACGATCTGTCACATTTGATGTCGATATCACACTGGGATTGTACGACAGCCACGGTTGAAATTCACACTCAACCGTCACCATGCACTCCTCGTAACTGCAACTTATCATAGCAGAGGTGGGATGTACATGAACTTTTTTTGTTGTATTCGAGTGAAATTTTCGTTCGTCAGATATGTTTGTGTTGTCTTTAGAGAAGATGCTGGTGTATAGGGAGTCTGCGAGTGTGTTGCTTTCCCAGCTTGACAGTAATCTCCCGGTCTCGCCACTTTGTATACTACTGCCACAACTTGCCGGACCTGATATGCGCATCTCACGCGGCTCATGAATCTGCTTATACATCATGACATGAGGCAATCATGCGGAGTCGCTTTTGTCTGGCTCCTGGTCGTACGAGATATTGATAGAATTTCTGCTCCGAGCATTTGTTGTAAGGGAGGGGTCGAAACAAAGGGTGTAGCTGACCGGTTAAAAACACCTTTTACTGTGATAACGATTGTGTGTGCTCGAGGTCACCACATACAACTTCATTGCAAAGCCGCTGGTCATGATTCCTCCAATCAAACGCTGCATGCGGTTCTGCAAGGTACATAACAGGATAACAGGAAGCTCAAACAGTCTCTTGTGATCTCACTACGAGCTTCGTACCACTGACCGCGTTATTCTCCAACCTCTCTAATCCGCCTATGATACCGTCAAGTCCACCGGGAAGGACATCGACCGGATTCGGCTAGCAAAATATACATTAGGCATGTCATGATCTCGATAGACTGAGAACTAACCCGAATCGCCCCTTCAGCTAAGAGACCGTGCAATGCCTTGTACAAGCTGACTGCAACTACACGATTCTCCGCCGGAGAATACGTGTCTCCAAAAACACGCACAACGCGCTTACTGTATTCAGCCTTAGCTAGGGGAATCACAGTCACGAGACATCCGCTGGGTGCAAGTAGGTCGAACGCAATCTCCTGGGTGTCAGGTAGGGGAACCACATTGTAGATCAGCTCTAAGGGCTTAGAGGTGATCTTCCCGACTTCAGAACGAAGAGAATCAGCAGGAAGGTGTCGGTCTATTATATGGGTAGCGCCAAGGGACTTGAGATAGTCGGTGTGATGTAGCGAGGCCGTACCGATAATGGGAGAAAACCCCGAGAGCCTTGCGAGTTGTAGAACTGCCAAATGTTAACATAGTACGTAACTATAGGTAGCGACCGCGGACAATGCAAGACGACTCACTGTATTGGCCAACAGAACTTGATGCGCCAAAGACTACAAATGGCTTTCCCGCATACTTGCCGCGGCCATCTCCTTCCCATGGTGCAGCAAGCCGCGCACTGCCAAATTTGGCACCCTCAGGGGCAGATGGAGTATAGAGCCCGAGCGCTGCCGTCGCTAAACCTAAAGGGATAGTTGCCGCCTGGTCGAATGTTATGTTCGGAGGGATCTACCAAAACAGTGAGAGATCGTGATTAATATTCATAACGACGAAGAAGGCCCGACCTTGGCGGTTATATCGGCTTCAAGGAGAGAATACTGCTGGAAGCCTGCGTGCAAACCATCAAAGCCGCCTTGTGAGAACCTACAAGACAGTCGGTGCTGAGTGATTTTCTAAGGTCAGAGGACATACACTCTGTCGCCCTCTTTGAAACCTTGTACGCCGTCTCCGATGGCTTCCACGGTACCAGCAATGTCCTCTCCAAGCACGGTAGGGTACTTCTCAACTAGCGCTCCATATTTCCGGACGAGCCAGTCTGCCGGATTGAGGGCGGCAGCATGTACCTTGACCAGGAGCTGACCAGGACCAGGCGTCGGAGTGGGGACTGATTGCAAGGTGAACGTTCCCTGCTTAACCGGGAGAACGAGTGCTTTTTGCAGAGTAGACATGTCGCGGAGGCCCTATGCTGATGAGAGGTTCGTACTAAAGCAGATTTATACCTTGGGAACGAAGGCCGTACTCAAACATGAGTCAACAGACAATATCAGTCATCCGAGAATGTTTGTGCCGAGAGGAGATACGAATGCATACGGCAGTACGAGTTGAGACTCCTGATATCGTTAGGCTGAGGTTCGGCGTAGAGTGGGGACATAGTAACAGCACTTCACCATGATCCCGACTTTGGGAATAGGTCCCCACCATACTCCGGACAGATTGCTATTACCCGTGGCACCAATCCATGATCCCAGCCATCATGGTCTGCGCTCACATTGCTATTTCTGTCGAACTTACCAGCCTCCACCGTTTCGGAAGCAGCAGGGTTGGAGAATGACGGCGTGACCAGCGACCACTGTGGCAAGACTTGCGCAGACGGGCACTCCTGCATCGGTAGACAACTGAGCGCTGCGTTACACAGAATAGCATAGATAAGGAGACCAGAGGTAGCCCGCACACAACCGTCTGTTACAATTTCTCAAAGGTACAGGCAACGATGGGTGACTTGGGAACTATCAACCTTTACAAGTACAAGGCTAAACACAGCATTTGCCGTGTGATATAAGACATGGTCTAGAGTACGGAAGAACCGCGTGTGGCTTTTCCTCTAGGTCAATCCGTAGCTACGTCGACAACAGCACTCACCTTCGCGGATCTACACATTCAGGAGATCCGTTGTGCATTTTGACCATCGGTACCATGGCGTGGACATCAGACCATGCAGGCATCATGGAGACCCTACAAATGAATCAAAGTATATGAGCTGCGGCTGCGGGCGGTAGTGGCGCCAGGCGCAGAGCTTGACCAAAGTCATGTACTACAGACCTTAAAGCAGCGCGTAAGCATATCTGCTGATCCTTGCTCGGCATGCCATTTACACACATACTGAATCGAAGACCGTTTTCACTCGTGATTATACACGAAAGCAACGTGGTTGGACTGTTAAGCTGTCTCCTGAGAGCGTACGACCAATTTTACGCCGCTGACGGTGTCATTTTTCAGCCTGTCTAGTCCTGCTCTAATGCCACCCAGCCCTCCGGGTATGACCTCGACACGATTTGGCTATATTAATCAACCATTAGGGAACATGTAGAAATGGTTCAGATGCATTCATCGACAGCGGAACTCACCTGAATGGCACCCTCTGCCAGTAGCTCGGGTAATACCTTGTACAAACTCACACCGACTTCCAGATTCTCAGGCGGGAAATTCACCTGCCCGAATACCTTTGCAATGCGTTTGTTGGCGATGAGTGTGATGGCAGGAAAGAGCACGAGAACGAGACATCCTCCCGGGGCGAGTAGGTCGTACGCAACGCTCTGCGTATCCGGCAGAGAGACTGCATCAAAGATCACCTCGAAGGGCTTCGAAGTGATCGCGGCAAGGTTGGAGCGGAGAGCCTCGAAGGGGAGATGACGGTCGACGACGTGCGTCGCACCGAGAGATTTGAGATAATCGGTATGGTGTAAAGAAGCAGTGACGATGATTGGAGAGAATCCTGACAACCTAGCGAGCTGCAGCGCTGCCATGAGCACGTAAGCACAGCCACTGCATGCACTAATGCGTAGATCTACTTACCATATTGTCCGACAGAGCTCGATGCGCCCAGCACGACGAACGGCCTGCCTGCATAAATGCCGCGGCCGTCTGAGTCCCATGGAGCAGTCAATTGGGCACTTCCACATTCAATATCCTCAGGAGTTCGTGGTGTATAGAGTCCGAGGACAGCAGTTCCTAAGCCCACCGGAATGGTTGCCGCTTGTTCGAAGGTCAGATTTTCTGGTATCTGATAGCACATTGTCAATTACACATTCTCTTTATAGCATGAAAGCTTGGATTCATGGACCCAATGTACCTTCGCAGTAACGCTAGCATTGAAGAGCGCGTACTGTTGGAATCCGCCATGAGTGCTCTCAAACGTGCCTTGTGTGAAGCTGTACGAATATAAGCGGCGCAATGTTTATAATCACGGGACGACGTACACCCTATCACCCTTTGAAAAACCATACACCTCTTCACCAATGACTTCGACAGTGCCAGCGTTGTCTGTACCCAAAATAAAGGGGTAATCTTCTACTAAGATGCCGCGCGCCTGGACCTTCCAATCCACGGGATTCAAAGCGACGGCATGCATCCTCACCAGGAGTTGTCCAGGACCTGGTGTAGGAATTGGAACAGAATGTAACTCAAAAGTGCCTTGTTTGATAGGGAGGACAAGGGCTTTCTGATGGGTAGACATGTCGGAATCCTGATAATGATAGAGCGTGCGCGGGTGGTGGCCTTATATCTCGACCCAGGAAAGGCGCCGTTGGACAATGAGTCAGCCGCAGCCAGCGAAGCTTACGAGGGATTGTTCAATGCCGCACCATCACCGAAGACGAGACCCGGGCGATGAATATGCTTTCCAACTCAGCCTGCAGGATGTCTCGTCAGAGAACTGCAAAAGCCAAGGATCTCATATCCACGTCTGACCTGCCAGTAATGGCGAGGATTTATGCAGCGCGTCAGCAGCAAGCTCGTCGCCATCATGAGTGACAATATGCAGCTTGGGGCGCTAGGCGGCCTTGTGTGCCTGCGCAGCTGGGTTCGAAGGCATGTGCTTCGTTCATGCGTCTTCCGCAGTGTAGATGCTAGAATGCATCAGAGTAAGGTAAGCTATGTTTTGGCCGCATCTCACACTGGTGTTAACTACACGTTACTATGTGTAGTAGTTGCATGCCTTGCTTTCGTGTGTCATTATAGAGACACTGGCATGGGAGGTGACCGTACGAAGGAAGTTGAAGCAACGCGAAAGTTCGCTGCACGATCACGTGCCCGTGTCTAGCTGGACAGCGCTTATATGCAAGCGCGAGCTCGAGTTGTCGCCACACTACTGTCTCAACTGAACCTGCATCTTACTTGGGCTGTATATCCTCCCGGAATTTCGCCTATACCTTATAACGTCAAAGATGAAACGCGCGCAAGCCGACGAAGGATCTGCATCGGAATCCTCCAAACACACCCTGGTTCCTACATGCTTGCCGCGATCCCTCCTGGACGAGCTGGCCTCCGAACCGCTGTTTCACATCGATTACTCAATCATCTACAACACTGAATGGTCGTATTCACGCGGGGAGTCGCTTACAGGCGATCCAAATCATGCCTTTGCCGAGTACTCCGCTGTCATTCTCAATCGACTTCCCTCTGATTGCATCCGTCGCCGCCGCATGGGGAAAAGGGCCGCCACCCTCAAAGACTGCACATCGCTACACCTTGCTGCAATGCGTGGAGACGTAGCACTTGCATACGAGTGTATTCGTTTTGGCGTCGATGTCAATCGTCGCGACTGTGATGGTGCGACACCATTGCTTCGTGCAATGGAGCTGATCAGTGCACCGCGCTCCTTTCAAGCCCCTGCTTGCAAACACACACAGTGCATAGCCAGGGCACGAGAGAGGGTCAGCTTGGGGATACCTCGTGGGAAGCGGATCGCGAGCATCCTAATAGAACATGGTGCGGACGCAATGCTAGCAGACAATAAAAACGTCACTCCTTTCGACCACGCTTGGGTTATGCGCGACTGGGACCTCATCGAGAACCTCCTGCGCTCCTGCCCACTCCTCGCCGACTACCCTACACCGAAGGGTAGTCCGGAGGACATCCGCTGGCTTGCGTTCCTCGGCCGCAGAGCCAAGCATGGACCGCCCCCGCCACCTCGTCGTTGCCCATGTTGGTCTGGACGACTACTCTCAGAATGCCACCAAGGCGCAAAGAAGCTTTATCCCGCTGAATGTGCATGTCCATGCGGGTTACCTAAACGATACCGCGACTGTTGCAGTCAACGAGACTGGGACTTCTTTGAAACATGGGACCCGCAGCGCAAGCGCATTGTGATAACTGGTCAGACGCGGCAACATAATCTCGTAGAAGTAATACAGGAACACGTTGACGTGCAGAAGGTCGCAGATGCCGACGACAAGAAGATTGTGCCCTCCAACCGCGCAGATGCCGACGACAAGAAGATCGTGCCCTCCAACCGCGCAGATGAAGACCAAGTTCGGTCTTTCAACCGCTTTACTATCTCTTTGGTACTTTCCCGAGGTCTAGATCCCGCATACGCATGGGCAAGTCTGCATAGAGCCGTCAGAAGCTTCATGATGTGAGTGGGCGTACCTATTTTTCCTCGCCTAAATCTGAACCACTTGTTCATAGGCCGCAGGACCAGCAGACCGATAAAAAGGATCGCGAAAAGAGGCAGCATGCATGGAACGCTGCTGTAGATGAATACATCAAAATCGTCGAAGACGGACGTTCACCGACTGACATTGAACACAAAGCTAAAGTAGCCCTTGATGGTAGACCGCTCTTCAAGCGTTGCGAGGCGAAGGGCTGTGCCACGCCTAACGGGGCCGGGTGTCAGTTGAAGTGTTGCGGCCGGTGCCAACGAGTACGTCTCTGCAGCTCTTCTCAAACGACGATTATGAGCTTGACGCCACGATAGATTTACTACTGCAGCAGACAATGCCAGCGGAACGATTGGAACAGACACAAGAAAGCTTGTGAAGATCGTTCCCATTCTTTGCAAATGCTGCCTTCCCAGGTCATCGTAGAGCGTGCAATGTTTGACCCTACCAGTCCATTGGATCACAACTCGGAGCAAGTGGGCCATGACCGCAATAGTAATCTGCGAAGTTTTTTCGAACGCCTTCACGAAGCTGGAGTCATCGACGAAGTTCCGCAGGCTATCCCACCTTCTAAATAAACATGAGCGGAAGGTGCGCATCTATTCACACTCTTACGCGGCTGCAGGGATCCTAATTCCTCTGCTTCGTCCACTTCCAAGATTTTCGTATACACCGTCGACCAGGTATCGTGGCAAGTGCTCTTTTAGTGACTACAATATTTGCGATGCACGCATGATGAGGTCCAAAACCTGTTATTGTGCGTGTATGACAGATCAGCGTGTCTGCCTTCTATTTCACCCGCGTTGTATCAACCTGTCGTTAGTACGGAATTCGTAGATTATATATTATGTTGAGAATCCCTATAAGAGTGTATGCACACTGAGCAGAGGCTTAGCAAACCGATAAGTTTTATGGCATAAGCAAGGAAAGGCTAACAATAGCTCCATAGTTTTCCATCATACTAATACAAACAGAAGCGCTTCGAGCGGATATGCGTTCACATTGTGCCTGTCGACTGTGGAAATACCGCTGCAAAGTATGTTAGTCAATACATTGTGTTCGTGCTAACATATTCTAGATCCTTCTTTGCTCAGGGGTCGCCAGAATCCAAGCCCACCGACCATTGCCTCTTCTCAGATACTCACGTTATACACTATAGGATCTTAATCCGCAGGCCGTGGCTACCAATCGTGCGTGCAAGGGCCCTCGGGTGACATGAATCTCAGGAACAGTTGGATTTGAATCTAACTCCATTCAGACATGCGGTTTTTACGTACACAGGCTCGTATCGACAGGTCCAGTGCTCATTAAGGAGTCAACGATCCCTTTGAGATGTCGGGAAGCTCGCACAGTTGAAGGCTGCATCATTCCTGGCGGCGCGCAAGAGAACAGGCGGCATCTAACGTAAGCCTGGCAGCAATCTCTACCATCTCCCTCGCCCCGAGCCATGAATGAAAGAGCGAATGCAAGGGCAGGTCGGCCTTCGGCAAACGCGGGTCGGGCTGAATCATGCAAATGCCGAATGGTTCGTCCTCGGTAACGTCTCCTGTGGTGGCCGGGAGTTTTCCTGCGGAAAGGGGATGTGCTGAATAGCCTCAAACTCAGTCCACAGCCGACCACATATGTCATGAGCTTCAACGTATAAAGGGATGCCCTTCGCCCCGTACGAATGCCCACCTCCTTCGTCTCATCGCTACTCACCATGTCCACTGGCAAGAAAATCATCTTCGTAGTCGGTGCAACTGGAGCACAAGGTCTCGCAGTTATAGACAGTCTTCTAGCTACTTCCGAAGATGGTTCACCGTCTCCGTACGCCGTTCGCGCCCTGACACGGAGCCCAGAAAGCCGCCGTGCCAAGGAACTCACCGCCAAAGGCGTCGAATGCGTGAAAGGTGCTCTTACCTCTATAACCCAATGAACATACAACCTTATGCGTTGTCCGCAGGAAGTTTCCTGGACTTCGACATCGTGGCCGACGCACTGCAAGGGGCTTGGGGAGCGTTCGTCAACACGGACTCCTTTACCGTCGGCGAGCCCTGGGAGATATATGCAGGAATGAGAATATTTGAGCTGGCCAAGAAGGCCGGTGTCCGCCATTACGTGTGGAGCAGTCTAGAGTCTGCATACAAGGTATTTCAGACCATCCTCTCCTACGTCAGAAACGTATCTATGCTGACCTGAAATCAAGCGAAGTGGCTACAATCCGGACTACAGAGTGCACCATCATGATGCGAAGGACAGGGTCAGCGATTGGATGCAGGCGCAGCCCTCGGCCGTCAGCGACACCGAAATGTCGTGGTCGATGGTCACCACAGTTCCTTACATGGACATGCTCAACGAGGTCGGTATTTCCTGCATACTTACACTGGATGATATTAAGTTCTCGTCGTTTCGGTGTAGATTATGTTCGCACCAGTGTCCCAGCGCGAGGATGGTACCGTCATCTTTGCAACGCCAATGGGAGATAGGTCCATGCCGATGGTCGCGCTTTCTGACATTGGGTTTTTTGCGCGCCACGTCTTCGACAACCGCGCCACGACATCCCGTGCCGAGCTTAAAATCGCAAGTGACATGGTTAGCTGGGAGTACTTGCGCAAGAACTTCGAGAAGGTAACCGGCAAGAATGCGGAGGTCCTCTACTTAAGCATCGAAGAGTGGTTCGACAACCTAGGGACTGACTGGCGCCAAGACCAGCCGATCGCGGCTGCAGGGAAGGTCGGCGTAGACACGATCTCTTGGAAAGACAACATGAGGGCTTGGTGGACGATGTACCACGATGGAATCCTGAAGCGCGACTTGGATTGGATCCGGAGGGTCAATCCGAATGGACATACGCTGGAGAGTTGGATGCGTGAGCATAAATACGGAGAACGCCTGTGGGAGAGGGGTACTGTACTGAAGAATGTGGAAGAGCGCATGGCTCAGATGACGCCAAAGGAGTCCAAGTGACTGCTAAAACTACTTGCATTGTTGTCCGAACGAGTCCCCTACATAGTAATTAGCGACGAAAAGCTTGCATGCCATCTATGTATCCACAGATTGAGAGGCTTGGCAGGTTGGAGGAAATGTCTATTCTTGAGAAAGTAGATTATCGACTTAATCAGAGTTATCTCGTTGAACGTGCCCAGGTGAGCTACTGTATGGATAGGCCTGTTACAGTAAAACCAATATTGATAGACCTCCCCTCGCAAAGTATACACCTCGGCAAAGTGGGGCAGAAGCAGGAGTCGGCAGTAGTGCAGAGACGTCGACGAGCGGCCGAGTGAGGTAGACGCTCGCTGTAATCCCCCCGTCCTCTCGCCGTCATTAGTAATGGACGACATATTCCTCCTCAGAAGGAATTCGGTGTATCATACATGTCTGACTCCATGATTAATGGTCGGATTAAGGAAGCTACTGGTATTGCAGAGTTCGTCGCTTCTACCTTTGTTTGCGGAAGTAGAGAGCGACGATGTAGACCTCGACAAATAGACAAATATCGAGACATCGGCGTGGATTACATACTATATATGGCTGCCGTGAACAACATTGAGATCTTGAAGGGATGAGGGCACGTCACCCCCGAGGTGCCGAGCGCCGCTATGCTCCATGCCGCCTATCTGTACTTTTTGCGAGGGAAGTCTATCAATATTGGTTTTGCTGTAATAGAACTTGTAATTTCTACCTCGACGTTGGGGCGAGGTAAGTATTAAGTTACATGCGTCGTTCTTCGCTGCTAATCGACATGCAAGCAAGGATGTAAAGATGTTTGTTACCTCGGATGCGACGTTGTACCGGCAATCAGACATCTAATGACTCGTAGCCGGAGGGGTTGCCGAATTCAGCGCGCTTCTTTCCTCAGCAACGCTGCTTGGTGCTCCGGTACACTACAAATCTATCTCCACTTTGTTACAAATCGAAAAATAGGGGTTTGTGTAACGATGTCCCCCGCAATTTTTCATTTCCCCGTCGTACTACCAGTAGCACTAAACCCGAGTCAGGCATGTAAAGTAGTCAATGCCATTACACGATGTCTGCCAAAATTCGGGCAAATGCAACTGCAACTTCAACGACAAGCCCGACAAGAAGCGTACCCACTAGACCCGCCTTTGCGGCTCGCGAAATCTCCGGGCCCATGTTCGCCTGGTTGGTTGGCTCGCACGTCCATATCGCCGAACCAAGGGCGCCTGCTGCGACGCCGAATGCAGCATGGGTCGCTAGTTCTGCTAGGAATAGTGACGTTCGGATTACGAACGGTCGTGCGATTTTAGGAAGCATCTTGAGGACATGCTGCACAGTAGAGAATCCATCTTCTGCAGGAGGCTCCCGACGACGCCTGCGCACATAGACGGCGTAGATTACGGTGGCCGCACCAATAAAGACGCCAAGTAGTGCACCGCCCAAGGCGCCTGCGTGCATGGCTGCCCACTCATCATATACAATCCTGGGGTACTCGATGCATACCGAGCACCGCGACCAAGCAGTGCGCAGAATCGCGCCACCCAGTGCCTGTCCGACAAGTCCCAGGAGCGCGCCAAATGCGATAGTGAACAGGACGAATAATATGCGTCGAGCTCGTGGTTTTGAGCAAATATCACGTATGCAGCTCGGCGCAGGCAGTCGCGGCCTGGGGATAGGACTCTCGGCGATAGTGGATATGATCGAGCGTACATGGCGTCTCTCGTCATCCAGTTGAACCCCCGAGATTCGGGTGTATTCCTTTAGAATCTTTGCCTTCGCCATAACTGAGTCATGGTAAGGGTTTGACTCCAGCAGAGTCGGGGTCGTCGAGTAGGTGGTTGTTTCGGAGACGCGATGGGCTGCTCGGAGAGGCTGTAGAGGATGATACACCGAGAGCAGCTGTGGCGAGCTGTGGCGGGTCTCATCGGCGAGTATTTGGAGTGAGCGAAGGCCACCACCTCTGAATAGGCTCTCATCCGTGCGCAGAACACCATCTGCGTCTAACAACGTGGGCGGCGTGATTGTTGTCCTCTGACTCGACTTCATCCATATTAAGTCCTCTGGAGGGAGGACAGCGCTGTCCGGTCGAGCATCAGGCTCGTGACCTGAACATACGTCAATGAATACATCATCTGACATATATAGAGCACTCACCGTTGGGGTTCCGCTTGCAGCCAGGATGCATAACTCTCGAGGTCCAAGTCGAGGTGGCGTGAACGAGTGCGATAGATGCTGGGGACTGTCTATCATATGTTCATATTCCACACCCGCCACAGTCGTTACGTCTGTGTGCGCATATTTCCTATCAAGCCATCGATGTCAGTCAGCTACGATGGTCACGCATCTCGGCCGTGCGCGCCACTAGCGTACGGCCCCCTATCCCTAGCAGTAGAACAAGAAGACAGCGTGCCACACCTGTGGACATCAAGGACGCCCACAACGTAGCGGACTTTCAGAAAGCGCTCGATGAAAATGCATCCAACGTGTCGCCTGACCGAGGACACCGTGACGATGAACAACAACTACCGCGTTTCATCTTCATTTGCGAGTCTGTTGGTGCGCATGCAGAAAAGCCTGAGCCGCAAACCGGTGCAGTTTGTTGTGCGACGAGCATTTGCATGCCTTCTTCGGCGGCTCGCGCATGTAAGGCACAGTTCTCGCGAATGATCCCCGGCAATCCGTTTGGTGGGTCACCGGCCCTGTGCATTTCTTCGATTAGCAGAAGCCTAGAAGCGAATGGAGATACACACGGCTAATCGAACCCCCACGACATTTGCGTGCGGTCATGATGGCCGGGCCCATCGCCTTCCGTGAACACACGTGAACGATTCCATAGCAAAACATTATACCAAGTAGTATACAATACGCAGAACTACAACGAAGACACTAGGATGTACAAAGCAATGAACTAATACACGTAAAGCAGGACATATAGAGCAAACCTCGTGCAAATAACCATGTGTGTAGAACATGCTTATTGCCCAATACCTGAAAGTACTTTGAAAACCACGTCCTGTCTCTCCCTGAACGCGCGGAGCTTCGTCATACCGAGTGCGAGCGCGTTGATGCGGTTGGCAAACGCAACCGCTCTGTTCTCAGTGGAGGTGGTGCGGCGACGGGGATCCGTCGATCGCGAATCATGACCTTGAGCGGAGGATCTACGGGAACTATGGCGGTGCGTGCTGCCAGAATTGAAGGCATGGCCGACGCCGCCCTCGAGGATATCGCGTACGCGCTCGAGTCTCGGTCTGGGTGGCTCACGTTCGCGTTCAAGTGCATGTACAGTGGCCACAGAGTCCTCCTCTTCCATATCCCGCGCTGCTTGGCCAATCGCGCACAGCTCTTTCATAAAGGGACGCAGGTCTGGCGGGCACTTGGAGAGTGTGAGTGTCTGCTCGAGTACGCCGTAAATAGTAGCCTCGTGATCACCGGATTCGCTGCTAGGAAGGACGTCCGCCAGACCCTTAGTTTGCAGCTCTGGATGTGTGACAGAGGTGGTGGCAACGTCGAGAATGGCAAAGGCGACAGAGGCAAAGTACGCTCGAGACGGGTCGGAGCGCAATAAGCGCCTGAGAGGTGGCATCCGCTCGATGACGTCAGCCAATGCGGCATACAGCGTCTCACGGATGAACTCGATGGCGGGAGAGTCGGGTGTGAGGATGGTTGGCGTTGGAGAATGCAGGGAAGGTGGAATGGGACTGAAGGAGGCCGTGGACGGAGACGGTGATGGTGATGGCCTGGTTGCCGGCGGGGAGTCGTAGACCGGAGGAGGAACGAAGCTGGCCTTAACCTTTTTGCGCCCTCCACTACCTGCATCCAGCGCAGCCTGCAAGTCGTTCGCATAGCGATCCTGGAACGATCGCCGCATGCTTATCTCGATAGCCACCGCCCGCAAATCAGCCGCGATGCCGTTCAACCGTGGATTGAGTGGGCTCGCGATGGGGGGAAGACCGCAGATGACCCTCGCAAGGTCATGTTGATACTCGGGTACCAACGCCTGTATCTCGGGCACAGTGTGGGACCAGACTATCCAAAACGGCCGAAACGTTGGTGGACAGTTATCCTGAGAGAGCTGTAATGGAGGGCTAGAGCCTTTCGAACGCTTTGGAAGAGGGACAGACGGTGGCTCTGTGGTAGAACGCAGCGCGGCAAAGTAGAGGCATAGTGCAGGACCTGAAAATAATTCTAGTCAGCCTTGGCAGTACGTATCCATTCGCGGAGCCAGCTGACCTGTTATCATCAGATCGCCTTCTGCACTCGATAGGACATTTGTAGGGAGCAGACCCTCGATCTTGGCCTGCGTCAGAGACGACTTGAGGTACGAATGGAACGCGTCCTGAATAAATTCCTCGGAGAGCACAGTCTCTGATGGGTTGGATTCGGTAATAGTGGATGTGGGCATAATGGTGGTCGTTCAAGCAGCGGTGGCCACTGCGCTTATGACCATTTCAGTCGTCGCAGCGGTTCTTGCACGTGATTGCAAGTCATAGTTAGCGCCCAATATTACACAGCCCGTGCACAGCAAGTTCGATGACTAGTGTATTGTTAATCCTGACTGGAACAGGTCGCAAAGCACTGCATCCCACAAACATGTCGCTTCGAGTCAGCGGATGGGGAGCGATGGCCGAGTGACAGAGGACAAGCTTGTCGAACAAAACAATCATGCAATGTGTTATGTCGGTTTAACCGATATGAGACGCATGTCGACAGAGTCTTTCGAACACAAGCAGAACCATTCTCACTGAGAGCAGCAGCAAGATAATGGGAGTCCGGAGTCTGCAATGAGATGTCTGACCATCGGTGACTGCGCCGGACAGCTTCGCCAAGCCAAAGCTGAAGCAAAAGTGAGACTATTTGGGAGAGAATTTAAACGCACTTGTCCAGGCATTACGAGAAACCGACCGTCACGACAGCTATCCTCCGACAGTGTTCGACAGTGCTCGGATTCGTTCCGGCGTCATCACGTTAGTACTAGGGAAGCCGCTCATGCAAGTGCTATCCTAAAGCCCAATAAAGCTGCAGCGCAAGTTCTAGCGAAAGGAACCGCAGTGGAATTCACGATGGTCGAAGTGAGCAAAAGACACGTCGCCTCCATGATGGAATGCTGCCTGCCCATAGATCCATCGCGATCACGTGCCACGTGGGGCGTACTTCGTCGCGTCGCGTCCTTTACTACCTTGACCTTGATCGTTGCGCGTCACTAGCCGAATACGGGCACGAAGACTTACGACTGAATTAGTTGGGAAATTGGGTACATATCTCTTGTGAGTCACGATACCACAATTAGGCAAGCAGGCCAAAAAACCAAGCCACTGTGTGCCGACTGTCACAGTTTTGTCTATTTGACGTACTCGATGCACAGGAGAGTGATATCCCAGTTCTTCCGGTACGTACATCAGTCAATCAAAGGATTCGATGGCAAGGTCTATAATAAACATAAGTACCAATAGCAAGACCTCCCCACACACGCCTGCGAGCAGCGCATAGTGAACATCCAGAGTTCCAGAATCCTTCCCGTGCAACATGGAATTTCCGAAAGCCTGCCCAAAAATCCCAGCGATGATCAAACTGAACCATGACCAAAGCCCATGCAGCGCGTCTGGTATGAAATACCCCACTCCCAGTACCGCGCCGAGTCCGGCTCCTCCGGCCGCAGATGCACGACTGATTCCGATGCTTGTAGCTTCTGAGTGCCGGAGAGCCCTTGTTAACATCCAACGTCCGGTATGCCCGCACGCGAGGGACCAGAATGCTCCAATGCACACGTGGCCAAGCTCCCATTTAAGGAATGGGAGAATCACCCTCACAATGGCCTCGATCGTTGTCGCGACAATATTGGACGCCCATTTAATGACTTCCACAAGAGCTTTAGCAGCTCGCGCAAGAAAGCGTCCTGCCGCCTCAGTAGATTCTGCGAGGATCGTGCGCAGAGCTCCTATGTGCTCCAACAGCCCGTTGAATGCCGTATGACGGGCGTCGGCGAGAGTATTGACGGCTTGCACAGGAACGTGTCCTGTCGCCTTGGGAAATCGTGCAGGCATAGTGAACAGAGTTCTGATCCGCTCTACTAGCGCGTCGAGTGCCACTCGAAGGGCCGAAGTGTACTTGGAGCGGGATGAGACCGACATCGACTTTGAACCTCCAGGCGGCGGAAGGAGCGCTGTGCCGCTGTTTGTCGACCAGATCGACAGCCTTGAGTCTGAATTCCGCGGAGACAATTCCGTAGAGGCCCACGACGAGGTAGAACACAACGATGGCGCCACGTGTATTTCCATATCTGAAGGCGCAGTCGGATGTCTGTCCAACGCCACAGATGGGTCGTCCTGGTTGTGCCGGAGGCGGCGCGTCGAGGCAAGCAGGACAGGGGAGGGTGGCGTAATTGACATCAAGAACTCCTGCGGCGACCAAGACGAGTGCGTGGGCGGCGGTGCTTGCCATCTAGAGGAAGGTAGTACTTATATACCAGAACAATTGGGCCACTGCGCACCGGTGGATTGTAGGCTAGGATTACGACGCTTTGCCACTGAATGTGGCCCGAGTCACCTTTCACACGCTTTCAGTGTTGCGTCATTCAAGCCTCCACAACTCAAAACAATTGAAGTAACAGTAAATAAACTAGAACCAATATGCGTTGCTAGGAATCTTTTGTTTGCTATAGGAGTCGTGCTCGCTGTCCAAGGCAACACCGAGAGTTCCGAGTGCGATGAGTTCGTTGAACGCGTGGAAGGGAGGAAAGCGCCCGGTGACATGGGCGTTAGTCTTTACGGCCAGGCCTCGGAGGATCAATGCGTCAACGGACGATCTTGATCCCATCAAAGCTATTGGCCTCTTGCCAATACGCTTTGAACCGACTTCTGCGCATCGCGCTTTTCTTCCTCTTTGTTGCCACCGTCTCCTGTTCGTTCATTGTCATCGCCTAGGTCCTCCCTACATATATATACTCGTCGCGAGCATGCGAAGGCTTCAGTCGTCTCACGCATCGCTCGCAGCGTTGCCATAGCTCGGTCTCTCATTTCCTTTCCCTCCCATATTTCCCTTACACATGTTTCGATTCTTAGCGCTTGGTTTCCTCTCCTTTCTCGTATGAGTCTCCCTGTCCGTGTGCGCTTTGAGGCGGGCCCGAGCGCGAATAGAAAACGCCCGCGCCCCCTCGCGTGGTCCTCCAAACTCGCATTCATGCCCCACGCTGCCTCGGATCACTACCGCTCCTCACCCCGTCCCCTCGTCGCGATAAGGCATTGACGATACTATATAATCATCTTCAAACAGAGAGAATGATCGATATACCGATATACTATTATCTGTTGTCAGATTCCAGTTATTTTGAAAATATCACAGATATTAGGTGCCACACTGTGTCGAGGCGCATTGTGGCGTGCTCCAGGACAGTCGGCACGGGTATATTAGTGATGATGTACAAGGGAGGATGTTTATTTGCGACAGCACGTCTTGTTCATGATGAATGAGAAGTCATTTAAATAGCAGCCACAGTCACTGAGCGTAGATAACATGAGACAAACAACACCCTTCGTCAATAACATTGGGCAAAATAGTGTGATGCCGTCAGCCTTGACCGCGTCGCGAGGATGGACGGCATCATTATTGACCGTCACCCGTGACAATGGTTGTTAAGTTTTAGCGCGCATGCCATTCGACAGATAACCTGAGCGCGAGGCTATGACCACAATAAGGTTCGAGACGCCTGAGAGTTTTGGGAAGCCTTGAGGAGACAACGTGGAGCCTCCCCTGTATTTCACAGAGGTAGCAACGGGTGCTCAGCGAATCCAGGCGTCAAGATTTAGAGACAAGCCAAAAGGACCGTACTGACGTGATCCAAGGCGCGTCCGACGCGTTCAGTAACTTCTCATCACGTGATACGCTCGTCGAGCAATTAGTTGGTTTCCATTTGATTCTCAGTCATTCACAGTCGTTTTCAGCGATTTGCAAAGACTCGAAATTATGACGGAACTCGCACTGGCTGCTACAGAACTCATACATGCATAGAACAATATGCCGCTACAAACATAACCAGCAACGTCTCATACCACCGGCTGATGTCGTAAGCTTATGACTTAGTCCAATCGTCTCCTCGGGGACAGGCCACCACCGTAGAGTCCTAGATACGCAATTGGCAGATGGGTGTCTTATTTCGGGATTGTGCATCAGTGTTTGCTTCTAACCCCGCAACTCTGGTATGATGCTGACTCAGTGGCCGATGGCGCAATTATGTACGCCAGCCGAGGTTCATACGTCTACCAATGTTCATATAGCCTCGGGCGCGTGAGGCCATCGCCACCGGGAACACAAACACTCCCATTATGTCCGTTCTCCAAAACGCACTTGTTCTAACAGCTAGGCAAGGCGCCTTCGCTATCTCACCAATTTCGATCCCGACGCCGGATCGTGGGCAACTACTGATCAAAGTACAAGCCGCTGCACTAAACCCAGTTGATTGGAAAGTGCAAGCTAATGGGATTATTGTTACCGACTATCCCGCAATTCTGGGAACTGACATAGCCGGAGTAGTAGAAGAGCTCGGAGATGGCGTCGAAGGCTTCCGTAAGGGCGACAGGGTGTAGGCATCTTTATTTCCGTCCATATTCGTCGACTTGACCACTGAAAGTGTTCCTTCATAGTTTGACGCAAGGCTATTTTCACAACACACACGCTGGTTTCCAACAATTTACGCTAGCAAATGCCGACGTCACAGCAAAAGTGAGGAAGAGTTCCTTATCTCGTACTCGAAAAGTCAATGAATATGACAACCTCAGATCCCATCCCACCTTACCTTCGAACAAGCCGCAACCATACCCGTCGGACTCGGGACTGCCGCCTTAGGCCTATACACACAAAACGTTCCTCCCGGAGTAGATTTCGGCAGTGCACGCCTCATCCCTCCATGGGACCCGCTCGGCCGTGGGCGTTATGTCGGAAAGCCTTTCATGGTTCTCGGCGCATCAAGTTCCGTAGGACAATATGGTACATAGACTGGCTCGCACAACGCTCTCCACCTAACTAATACATCCGCCTAATACAGTACTACAACTGGCTAGGCTTTCTGGTTTCTCCCCAATCATCGCAACCGCATCGTTGCACAACGCAACTCACCTCCAATCGCTCGGGGCCACGCACGTTCTGGACCGTCAACTCTCTGCGTTTGACCTCCGCACTGAGGTCGCGAAGATCACGTCGAAGCCATTTGACGTCATATTCGATGCAGTCTCCCTTCCCGCGACACAGAATGCAGCCTATGAAATTCTCGCCTACGGCGGCTGTTTGATAGTCGTACTGTACCCCCGCATTAATATCAATCCATCTACACAGGCGCCAGGCAGAGAAAAACGTGTAGAGAAAGCATTTGGACAAGTGAATTTCCCGCCCGAAAATCGCGCTGTTGGTGCAACCCTATATCGGAATCTGACGGCGCTGCTAGAAGAAGGCTTGATACGAGTACGTTCCTACACATACACCATTCCGACGTGCCTGAGCGCATGTCATTAGCCAAATCGAGTGGAAATTCTCCCTGGAGGACTGGCAGCAGCCGTCGCTGGGCTAGATCGATTGCGGAACGGGACAGTCAGTGGGGTAAAGCTGGTCCTGCGGCCCCAAGAGACGACTTGAATGTACGTATTGACGGCGTTCTGCATTTTTTCCTTGCCTGTGGCCGCTGACCTCCCTTGAGATTTTTCAAGCCATGCCAACATGATACAGCCTGCGGTGTTTCTATGCGCTGCTCGTGTAGAGGCAACCTTGAATATCCCTTCTCACTTAGATGTACAGAGCACATCGCTCGACTACTGCGAATACACTTTTCAAGCACTAATACATGTACCCGCGCGAGGGATACCAACCGACAGCTATCACCTATCGCTACATACAGTACGATCCACCAAGCACGATCAAGGTGCTATAGCGGCGTATATTTCATACTGACATCGAACCAGACATGCTGCTCGGTGCTTTAATGAAACAGCAACGTGATAGGCTCCGATTTGCCTGTATGGTTGTTTCGCAGATATTGAATCATGCTCCAGGATACGCAAGTATTAAAGCGAGGCAACAATGAACGTCGAACTGCCAGGCCTTGCAAGGGTCATTTTATCGTGAGTTGTTCGACGGGCGGCCGCCGTCTTGAATATACCTTGATCATTGCAGTTCAGCCGTAGATATGCAAATCGGTAAGGCTTGCGTACTCGGGTAAGTCGTGCGCAATGAGTACCAATGAAGCTGTCATACCAAACTAAATCATACAACAATTAGATCGTGTGTGAGACTGTACACAAAGCATGAGCAGGGAGCAATAATTGTCCGATAGCTCCGGAATTCTGCGGGTATATTCGTTGTAAAATCGGCCTGGCGCCTGCACTCTTGTCAGAATAATCCACGGATATTGACACATTTATTTACGTACAGTTAGCGCGCGTGGCTTCCATAGCCACCAACCCAAACATTCCACTCGACGTACTCGACGTTCGCATTCAGCCACTCTTTCTCCTTGTCAGACAACTCTTCCCCTATCATAAGAACAGACAGCCACTTGATGGAGGCGACGACGAAGGAAGGACTATCATGCTCCGCGAAAGCCGTCTGCGTGTGAGCCACACGGCGAGCCCACAAGACCCTGAATATACTGCGGTGATCGCAGACGCAATTGTGCAGTCGTAGTTTGGTGACATGTGAGCACGACCATGTGTTTCCATACATTGGCATCGACATTGCCTCGATCTCGTGGCGGATATTGCAGTGAGAAAAGGTGAGATCGCGACTATTGATGCCGTCGAAATTGGCAGCAGTGGCTAGCGGGGCGCCGAAGAACATTCGCGGAGGGGCGTGCTCGATACGGAGATGCTCGGTGGAGCTGATGTTGAGGTGTACGTGGGGATAGCACCGTATGAAAGTAAGCCATATGCATCTATAGTCATGGATAGCTGTGAAGAGAGTCGCCAGTGCCATTTGCCCGATGCTGTCAAGTATGAGCGACTGCAAGCGGAGACCTCCAGCTATCCGGCGAGATTGAGCCATCTCAAACGGCTGGTCTTCGTGGAATTCGATATCTGCGAGTTTCAAGCGGGACAATCTCGGGACCTGTACCAAAAATGCCACCAAGTCGATCATCTTGAATGCCGTACAAACACTCGACTTATATCCAGCAATAGTCAAGGATGTGACGGAAGTCAATGATCGTGCATTTGCACTTAGCAGATACGTATCCAAGAAGCTCGGCCCATCCAAGTGAAGTATCTCGAGAAGAGGTAGGTCGACAGGGACCGCCCGCTGAAAGTCGTTGAAGAGCAATGGCAACTGGAGTGGTGCGTTACGATTGTCAGACTCCAGGCGCAGGCCGGCGAGAAGAGGAGCGATTCCGGAAAGTGCTTGCAACTGCGTAGGCAAGGTGTCCTGGTCGGTGGCATCGATACGCAGCGTCTGCCAACGAGACGCGTGCGGGAGTAAGTGGACGAGGATAGCGGATATATGGGCCTTCTCGTTCTGTACAGCCATCAAAAGGTGGCTTACGCGAGTTATCGCAATGTACAGGGGCTGGCCGCCGGACTGGTGGGCATAGATGCGGGCGATATCCAGACATGTCGGGGAGGGTACCGTGGAGCTTATGTCGAGAACCAGGCGTCGCCAGAAGGTCGTCTGGCAGTATAGTGTATCCCGCCATAAGGGGCAAACAGATGCAAGAAGGTATGGCAGGAATGTCTGCTGGGGAATGGCATCATCTTCCATCCAAGATTGGACGGTAGCGACTTCTGCGGGAGATGCATACTGCAGCTCTTTGAATATCATGCTCCATATGTCCATGGGAACAAAATCAATGGGCGTGGTTCCAGCCACGTAGGGGCGACGCCTAGGCATTGCGAATGGTTCTGCTGATTCTAGGTAAATGACCAAACAATATCAGGAGTGTAAGGCCGATGATACTCAATGGTAGACAGAAATGCTCACATCACCTACAAATCTGAGGGGTTCGATAGCGATTGCCCACGTCAAAGTTCTTAACGTTTCAATGCTTGCTTTGCAACGCAGGGCCTGAGGTTGGTGAAATGAAGGTCGCGAATACTGCAGTGTGGCGCTCTCGGGTGTACACCACGTGACTACAATTGTCTCGCCAGGTTTAGCAAGGTGCTTTCGTCGCCGGAGTCCCGGGACAAGAAAGACGAATTGGAATATCAGTGTCGATGGATTACTCTCGCAGAGATAATACTCTGAATTACGCGCAAAATTGTGTCAAGTCGCGTCAAGAGAAATTGCGCGACACTAACACTGGTTTGGGGACCATAAGCTGGTGATTTGCAGCTGCGTGCAAACTTCTTGGATCCAATTTGCGTCGATGAACGGAAGTGAAACGCGTTATTTCCTTTTTTGGAGAGCGCACCCGTGCACGCGGGTCGTGTCAAGACACGTCGCGGCTAAATACTCCTGGGGGGGGCGTGATAATAGCGAAGTATTTATAGCTGTATTGTGTACACCTTGATAATAAAGCTGTAATTGTCGAGGGCGTACATGATCGAGCTATATAGTAGGACGCAGCCAGATCCTGCGCCCGATCCTTACTAAGCGGTCAATCTCTTTGGAAGCATTGCCCGACCACTTCTGGGATCACCGCGAGGGTCCGACCTGAGACTCAGTATCAGCATCCTGCTTACAGCCTTCATACCATTCTACGCTCACGCCATATCAACACCTTTCCACTAGTAGACCCTGAAACACCCCCTGGCAGCTAGGGTTGTACGCCAAGCCGGAGTTCATTACAACGCTTGGGGAGCAACGATTGTGAGTGGCTCAGAACACATATATCAGCCGTCTCTCTTCTTCCCATCTCTTGTACCCAAGTTGAGAGTACGCCACAGCCAAACAGTATTTCGGCCCGCGAATATTATACCAACTCTGAGAGGCTGAGACAACATGGACGGCCCAGTTATCGAGGAAGATTCGAAGCAGTTTGACTCTGTCAACGCTCCTCAGGAAGATGAAACACAGCCGGATCCGGACGAAGAGATGATCATTGAGAACATGGCTCCGGGGAGAGTATGGCTAGTGAAGGCAAGTCAGCGCCACGAGTAGTAATGCATGTCCGTGACGGCCCCTAGATTCCCAAACACCTCATGGAGCGCTGGTCAAGCATCAACCAAGAGGACATCCAGCTAGCCACCATCCGCGTGTATCATGAGGCGGTCGCCGCGAACGGCAAGAAGCCACGCATTATGATGATGCTTCCGCCTAACCCCGATGGAACGTGTGACGAATACGAGCTGGACATGGTCAACGAGTCTGTCGAGAACCAGATTGTTGTTGCGGAGCGCGAGAAGTACCCCGGTGTTCCACATCGCGCGAGGACGACGATTCTTACGGGGCGCGTGAAGCACGAGTGCAACTTGCGTCCCTTGTTCACGGAACGATACCGCCAGCGGCTCAAGCAGCGCACACTGCTTGCAAACACGCCGAAGAAGCAGATTATGCGGATCGAGGAGGCCGGGATCGGCGGGCGCGGGAGCATCAACATGCTCACGAGTGGTGCAGCAAATCAACGGCCATTTACGTTCGGCGTACGCACTTCCCATAAGCTCTCAGTCATCTTAGGTGCGCTGACACTTATACCCTCTGCAGCAAGTCAAGCAAAAGCCGGCGAAGGGCCAATTCGAGCGCATGGCGCGTATGCCACGAAACAACCTGCTCGATCTCCTCTTCGGCCTGTTCAAAGAGCGTGAATTCTGGTCCATCAAGGTCCTTCGCGAGAAGACCCAGCAGCCGGAGGCCTGGCTCAAGGAGCTGCTTAGTGGTATCGCGATGCTTCACCGCAGTGGGGAACATAATGGCATGTGGGAGCTCAATACCAACTACAAGGGCCGCGATGTGCGTTGTTCTCTGGGCGGTTGTAATCAGAGTTGTGCTGATGACGTCTTGATAGGCCACTTCAGCCGACGTGCCACCAAGTCAGGATGTAGAGGAAATGAAGCTGGAGGACGAGGCTGAAGGAGAGGATGATGATGATGATGATGATGAGAACTTTGATGAAGACGATGATGACATGGAAGAGGTCTCATGATTACTAGCACTCGGACTCTTGCATCACTACTGTATCCGCACTCATATTGTATTTATATGCACATCGACTGTCTTGCGAATAATACATCGTTCTGTTCTCCGATATCATATTGCAGACGACGATATCATATGTGGCGAGCTTGCAGACATCGGATGCTTTCATTCATTGCGTATTCGGTCCCGCCGTGTCGATCACGTTGCTGGTCAGTGATCCAAGTCAGAACGGAAATTGGATATGAAGCAGGTCACTGCAAAGTCTCGTGTTTTCGGGACAATGCTTGCAAGTTGATGGCAACAAAGAAGGGGGAAACATGGAATAGGGTTGATAGACGAACATGACTTTACAATTGCGCTTACGCTCTATAGGGCGACTTTGATGGTATGAGAACCTGACCGAAGTTTATTACTGCAAACTAGTTCAAAACGATCACCGACACTACAACTATACATAGTATACAAAAATGATACAGGGAACAAGATAGATGGACCGGCAATTTCCCGACAGTTTTGTATCGCGAGAGTCAGAACGCGTGCAAAGTAGAGAGAATCCTATGCACATCATGTAAGAGTTCAGCGGCGTGATCATAGTACCGAAACTGCCAGTGAAAGGAGCGCCATCACCCCCCCCCCTCTCCTGACCACGTACAATTATGGCAACTAACCGTAATAGTCACCTGTGTGATTCTGCGGTTGCCGTCGACACCTGCTTCACCTGTCATGCCTGCGACAGAATTCCCAAATTCAATGTGAACCTCTCGGACACTAGCTTGAGACCTTGATCTCTGCGTTGCGGATGATCTTTTCTGACCCCTTCTGATCAAGTACATTGTTGTACGTGAGACAGAGCAGGAATCCTCGTTAGTGGCTTATCGTCGGATGAGCCAAATTCCTCCTCGCGTGCTCCACAAATCAATGATGGATTCACTCGTCGAGAGCGCCCACTCACCACACTATACGTTGCCATATATGCAATGTTTGGCGTGCATGGCCACCCGAGGTGATCTAGCAATGTTGCCACCGATGAGGATAACCGAGGCGAGCCCGAGGCGTCAGCCTTGTCAATCACGTAGGAAGCGTGCCACGAAGTAGACGGATCATGCCTCATACGAGAAGCTGCTCCCCCACAGCGCTTGCAGTGATATGAGCCACCGGAGCAGGAAATCCGTGAGTGAAAACATGGTCAGAGGATACTGCAACTGTGTGAAAACCAAAACTTGCAGCCCTGAAGATATAAGGACGTGGCGTGGTGAGTGTACGATCCGAAAAGAATCGCCTCGTCATGTCATCTTATCCCGTACCTGGAAAGAAAGTCATACTTGTCATCGGTGCGACCGGCGCACAAGGACAGGCGATCATCGACAAGTTGCTAGCGCCTGCTGAGGACGGCTCGCTATCCCCATACGCCGTACGAGCACTCACGCGCGACCCAGATAGCAGCAGAGCGACCGAGCTCGCTGCGAAGGGCGTTGAGTGCGTCAAAGGCGAGCATCACTCACCCGTCTCTGTTCGTGGCGGCGAGGCGCTGAGAAGCACACCCCTAGGCCGGTTCGACCATTTTGACAGCGTCGCGGCCGCACTGCGCGGTGTATACGGCGCGTGGGTCAACACCGACGGCTTCACAGCCGGCGAGCCGTGGGAGACCTACGCGGGGATGCGGATCTTCGAACTCGCAAAGCAAGCCGGAGTGCAGCACTACGTGTGGAGCAATCTTGACTACGCATTCAAGGCACGTCGTTGGCGTTGACGGGCAACCTGGAACCTTCTGCTGACTTGCGTGTCATTCCTTGATGGCATTTGCATGTCGTGCACCTGGTAGATCGGGGGCTACGACGAGAAGTACCGTTGCGAGCACTACGACGCGAAGGGCCGTGTCGGTGAGTGGATGCAGGCGCAGGCGTCGGACGTGCACGGCGCGGGCATGACATGGTCCATCGTGACCTCGTGCCCGTACATGGACATGCTGCACAACGTACGCCTTACCCCTGCCTGCGACTTTAGCCTGGCGTATCCTCTCATCCTCACCTCTCGCAGTTGATGTTTGGCCCCATCGCGGAGCGCGCAGACGGTACAGTTGTCTTCGCGACGCCCGTCGGGGCAGGGCAGGTCCCCATGATTGCGCTTTCAGACCTGGGCTTCTTCGCGCGATACACGTTCGACAACCGGCGCGCAACGTCGGGCGTGGATCTGCGCGTTGCAAGTGACCTCGTCGGCTGGGAGCGCCTGCGCGCAACGTTCGAACGCGTGAGCGGGCGGCGGGCAGTTGTCGTGCACATGTCGCTCGCCGAGTGGTTCGAGGTGTTCGAGGGCGTCGACGGCCCGCTAGCGACGGGCGGCACCGCGGGTGTGGACACGACAACGTGGCGGCGCAACTTCGAGGGCTGGTGGGCGCTCTGGCGCGACGGTGTCATCACGCGGGACATAGAGTGGATCAGGAAGGTACATCCACGAGGGCACACCCTTGAAAGCTGGATGAAGGAGCAGGACTACGGCGAGCACTTGTGGGAGAATGTTGCGTTCCTGAAGAATTCCGAAGATGGGAGGACGCCGACTCTCAAGATAGAGAAGTCGATAGCCTTGTCCAAATTGTGATTGCATGTACATTGTAGTTTGTCTCTATGGTGTCGTAATTGAGACTTGATGAAGGAAGCGCTGTCTGTCAAAGATCAACTAAAATCATGATGATGACATGCCAACATCAGTGGTTGACTACTGATAATCGAGATCTTTGATTTGCTGGCAGGACCGCTGCTGGATCCTGAAGTGGGCGGCGAGGTGCTTGGAAGTAAATGGCCAACATTCATCTTTATCAAGAGGTGTAGCACAGGATCAGAACGTTTACAAAGCCTCTTCACAGCCTGCAGGCTAGGAGTGGATGCTAAAGGACTGCCACCCCGACACAAGCGTTCCTGCGGCATCGCAGCCGATCCCGCGCAGCTGTTGCCATAGGAAGTACGATTGTCTTGATGTGAGCCCACTCACGAACAAGACATAGGAACTTTATCATGACGGCAATTGTTCAACAATGGTACTTGTCGCAAACTTTGATAAGCCAGCGAAAGTGCTCGTTCCTCACAGACAGACCATAATTGGACGCACCCAACAGCAGTCTGATGGAAGGTGCCTGTCTGTAGGAGTGAGACGCTTGTGACGCACATGGGTCTGAGTGTCACCACCAGCAGTCTGTGCGAAACGCTTGGCACGACTGTCATTGCGTGCAAACGCGATGAAAAGTAAGTGTACTCTGGTACTGCGGGCCCGTCGGGATCACTTCGATGACCAACAGTGCACTTGAATCCAGGAGAGGGAACGAATAACCCATGTTGCAAGGAAACAAGGAATGAAGAGCAATTATGATACATCGTGTGCGCTTACGACAATCTCCCGCCCATTACTCCGCACTGACCGTCGCAGTGAGTCTCTTGAAAGCGGTTTTCGCATGTCTACGCGCGCATGCACCCCGTCAGAACCACGCTAATGCACTCACACATTCATTGCACGCACCAAATGCATCCTCCTCATCCTTGGAATTGCGCCCGAGGCCGAGACTCCCATAGTACTCCCTCACCCGACGGTAGACGCTATAGCCGAGGCCCTCGTACATTCCGATGGCAATGGCATTGGTGCAGCGGACATAGAGGTCGACGAAGAACCCGTGGTATGTCTCGTCGGATACACGCTCCAGCTGAGCCGTCATCTTGCGCGCCAGGCATAGCCGGCGGTATTCTGGGGCGACAGAGAGCGCAGTGACATGCCCGTGCCATTCGGTGCCGGCCCCTTCGGCTTTGCCCAGAACTGCAATTTGTAGTCCAAGGAAGTAAGAGGTTGGGTGAGGAACGAGTATCCAAGAGTAAAAGGGTTAAGAAGGCATGAGTAGACAGGCACAATGAGAATGTGCGCACTGTAACCCATAAGGCGCCCGTTAGGCGATTCTTCCACCGAGCACAGGTCGGGCCAGCGGGCAAGGTAGGATAGGTAGAAGTTGATGCCATACTACATCGCGGAGTCAGTCTGAATAGGTGTCTCACGGAAAACAATACAGAGACAGGGGACACACCGTCTCTGTCCAGAGGTCCAAATTGCTACGCAGGTCAGTCGGGCCATGTACACATGGCGGCTAGGGCGACTTACATGTGGTTGAACTTGAACATGTCAGTCGCCTTGAATGGTCTCAGCACACTCATGATTTCGATACAGTGCCCTGACGGTATGTCTGAAGAACAAGACAATGTGGCGGAGGAGTACAATATGGCAGCCGTAAGCAGCCGCCGCTCACAGACGGGCGGCAATGAAGCGGGAAGAGCCGGCTGCACCCGATCGCGATCGGGCAGAATGTGCTCGTTGTCACCGATCGGCTGCTACGCCACACTCGCCTATGCCATGTCCTCCCACTGCTATTGTATTTTGTTTTCGCTGTGTTTTCATGAACCTGAAGCGAGAGCTACCGCGCCCGGCGGTCGCCTGGTGGTTGCGATGGCTCGCTTGCCCTTCCCCACGCGCCTTGTCCATTTGTTGTTCTACTCGCACTTCCATGCTATCCCCATCGAGCCTTTCGCAGGGGCGCTCCCATCGGAACGTTCTTCATGTTTACAATACTGAGGCGGTATAACCCTTCATGCGCATCGTTTGAGGGGGCCTACTTCTAATTCTGTCTGTGGTCTCACCCGATTGTCAGCTTGTGGCGTAGCGACCGAGGTGCATGGTCTTGTACACATAATCTCCAAGCGTTCTGCTCCTATGTCTTGAATAGAGCTTCCTCGCGACCTCCAGGCTCCAGGCGCCTGTATATGGTGCATATAAAAACACCCTGCAGAACAGACTCTCCAAGCAGCTGCTCGCCCAACACCCTCGAGATCTGCAGTCAAGCACTTGCCACAAAGCACCGTGCCATTCCACCATCCGCCACTTGCCACTCGCCACCAGCCATGCACTTCCCCCACCCCACGACGACCTGGAGCAAAGCCGCCCTCGAACGCGAGTACACTTTCGACACCGCTAGCCTCACACGTGTCCACACAGGTGCGCATACACTGCCGCCCCCTTGACTCCATACATTCGAACTGACATCAACCCCTGTACCAGAGGACCGGTCGCCGTACACTGCGCGGCCCGACTTCGACCACTGCAAGTGCTCTACGATCTTTGACGCCGGGCTCTGTGATAGCCCCGCGTCCTCGCGCCAAAACTCCGTTCTCGCCCCTGCCAAGTCCGCGTCGAGAACTTCATCTCCGCTATGCTCGCGCGCAGATACCGGGACGAGTGCTAAGTCGCTCACGAACGTCAGCGTGCGCTGCGCGTCGCCACTCGGCTCGCAAGCTTCACTAGCGTCTGCGGACTACCACGAGACGCACGCCCTCCTTGGACGCGCCGTGTCGCGTATGCCGTCTGCATCTGCAGTATTGGACGAGCAGGATGGGGAGCAGCATAACGGAGCGGGAAAGCACATAGCGAAGCAGACGTGCACAGAAGCTGAGGCGACGAAGGGCAGCGCAATGCACTTCATTCACGGGGGGGTGCTCAAGAGGCTTGCGGTGCATCTGCCGTTGCGGAAATGAATGGACTGTGCCACATCTGGTTTAGGGAGCTCTCATTGGGTTGTAGAATTGTATACTTACTACACACTGGGTTACTGTATTGCATTTCATCTCGGATACTCTGCATAATGATCCACATACATGCCGCGAAGCCAATGCACTAGCGCCGGAATATAGCCCCATGCGCTGGCAGGCCGCTAGTCAATCTCATCGTGATACTTCTCGTCCTCGTAACGCTCC